GTTGAGACCCAAATGGTGTGTGCTTGATGCAGAGTCGGTTTTTGCTGGGAGGATATCTGAATGTATGGCTGGGAAGGGGGCTACAGCACAGCTCAGCCCCACCCCCAGTGTAACAACTGGGTGGATTAGAACGGTAGGCATCCCATGAAGCCCACTTATGTACAGGATAAATGTGATCTGTGTTACTGTACTTTAAAATAGCAACTATTCTGTTCACTCCAGAGGCCATCTTTTTCTTTTCTGTTCCGGAATAATTATTAGTAATAACGAAGTAATGGTATAGGCAGAAGAAATGTTGGAATTTCCCTGTGGAGGTGGAAGTCATTCTAGAATATGTGAATGGTGCTGGGCTATGAAATGTGAGTGCTGATAAACAGGCTTTACGTCTCATCTATTTGTGGTCCTCAAAGATAAAGCCATGTACCAGGGATCAATCCAAGAGAACAACGGAATCTCACAGCAGAACTGTTGCACTGCAACTGTGTGAGGATGCCTGAAGGCTGCTCCTTTTCCAGTGGCAATCACAGAACGGCCCGGGTTGGAAGGGACCTCAAGGATCATGAATCTCCAACCCCCTCCCCCCCCCCCCCCCACAACAGGCAGGGCCACCAACCTCCCCATTTAATACTAGACCAGGCACTCACTTCAGGTCACTTAGGAATTAGGATAGCTGATACTATCTCTCTCATATTATGCTGCTATCATCAGCAGCCAAATGGCAGTGAAATTGCCCAAATCTTGCAAGTAACTTCAGTGTTTCCCTTCTAGCTTTTTAATATCGGGTTAACAGCCATAAGCAGTTAAGGGGAAAAAAGAAAAGAACATTCTGAAAGAAAATCCCTCGTGCCAGCTCTCAAGTTTATAGCAGTAAGAACAAAACTAAAGCTTCTTTCAAGATGTGTTGAATGGTAAATTGATACCAACTCTTCATTAAGACCTATCTTTATAGACAAATGTGAATAGTTGCAAGCTTGCCATTTTTACAAGTGTATGCAGGCTTCTTCGTGTGACTGGGAAAGGTTGTCTTCATGTGAAGAATAGAAAACATCTGTTTTGCATATTGCAAAGATTTGGTCATTTTGTTTTTTAATTATGCCTTCTTCCCATCATGTGAAGATGAGCAACTGTATTCAAGTCCACCTGGTCAGAACAGTGAAGCACATCTATTCCGCCCCCTGGAGCATCGTTCAAGAAATACACCTTCAAGGGGTGAGATGGTCCCTGTATTTCAGGCAGCGTGCTCCTTCTACCTGCACGGCTTGAAATGATAATAAATCTCTTGCAAAGGGGGTGGAGGCTAATGGACCAATGGCTGCGATGCAGAGGCTGAACTTGCAGTGTCGTTAGCATGCAGAGCAAATAACATTGTATTCCCTTGATACCACGTGTCTGTTATTCTAAAATGTCTTGACTCTCCATCACACCCAGTGTTGTAACCTGCTTTTGTTTCTTTCCTCTGCTTGTCTTTCAGGATCTGCACTTAAGTTATTTCTAAGCTCCTTTGTGAACTCAGAACGATGGGAATTGTTTATTGGATCAAATAGAGGCAGAAGTTGGTGCTTGCTGGGAATGACAGCTTGAACTACTTTTTTATAGTATGAGTGATAGTTAAATCCTTGACTTTGTGTTGGGTCACTGGTAGTCTCAGTCTGAGTAAACTTGTTATTGGATACCTGACGTGTTTTCTGATTCAAGTTGGCCAGTAGGCAGAAAAAGGCAGAAAAGATTTGAGTTCTGCAGCCTTTTGCAGGAACTAATTATAAAGAAAATAGCAGAGTGCACTGTGCCTTCCTAGGAAGTAGTGCTTATGTACTCACCAGCTGTTTGCGGGCTGGTTCGGCCCGGTTAGCGGCTGGTGGAGTGGGGGAGCCCTGACCCTGCTGAGTGTGCCCTAAAGTTGGTAATTATCCATGATGAAGTGTGAGGCTGTGCAGTGGTCAAAGAAGTCCCCCCAGGTTTGCCAGTGTAGCTCTGTTGTCATTTCCTTGCATTCACATTTTAATTTCTTTTCTTAAAAATTAAATACTTGCACTCAGCAGCTTTGCTTCTGTTTTGGAGCTTCTTTCCATAGTGCCTAAAGCTTTCAGCCTGCTTTTATGTGTACTACTGTGTTCTGTTACTTGGAAAGTAAGAATGCTGGTTTTGTACTGTGTAATTGTAGTAACTGTAGTAACATGTCAGCAGTTCAACAGCAAAACTTTAGGTGTGGGACAACAAATGGAGATTCCTGCAAAGAAATTAAAGGGATTCCTAAAGGCCAACGCTATGAAAACGATTAACATTTTTAAATTCCAGTGTGAAAGTTCAGCCTATGCATTTTATACATCTTAGTTTACTTTTTTTAAAGAGGAAACTACTGCTGTTTTCTCTTTGCCTCTTTTGATGCACTTGTACTGAGACGTCTCTATAGATGTTGTTTGAAGTATGCAGTTGATATCTTTGGGTAAGTAACTTGACCTTTTAAAAGTAGCATATGTTCAAGAGGTATGTTGCTATAGCTGATTATTTGACTGCTAACAGGAGCCTGAACCTGTTCTTGAAAGAAACAGTCCTTACTTATAGAACAAGAAACCCATCTGAAGCAGACAGAGTATATTAATAGCAGGAATGTTGCAGTGCTCCCCCTGTTTATGTGCAGTACATCCGAATTCTTCTGTGGGAAGCATGCTGTTGCAGATTATGGGAACACAGGGGTAGATAAAGGGAGCTATCAGCATATTCATACAGGCCTGTCTAAAGAACCTGCAAGACCTGCCAGTAATTATCCAATATACCTGTTAGGAAGCTGAGCGTGCTTGCTGTGTGGTTTCCGAGTACGTGCCTGCGTTGCTGAAAAGAAGTAAAAGACAAGTTGCACTTCAGGGAAAATAAGGGGCTGGGCAGAGCGCTTCAATGCAACCTGCTTGGAATGTGGCTTTGCTTTTAAGCAGCCGGGGCACTGCCAGTGCTGTTTTCCTGAACTGTGGCATTGCTTCTGACTCCATAAGGTTAATAACATCTTTCAATAGCTGATGTCAAAGGCTGAAGTGAAAGCCCATGACGTGAGCTTTAGATTTTAGTGGAGCTGCACTAACAGCTTATTTCTGATGCCTTGTGACCTTAGCTTTCTGTTATGTCAGCCAAGGTTAAAAAAATCAGACTGTTTAAAGGCACAGGCATTTTATTCACAGCTATGTATTTTTAGACCTGAATCAAAGGGGTCAAAAGCTGATGCGACAACAGTTGCTCACAGGCAGAAATAGAATGCAGAGAACAAAGAATTTAGTCGAAATTTTGAAAACAAAACCTGTGTAATACAGTTGATCTGCCTTTTAAGATTAGGTTATTCTCAAGAGTGTCTTTGTTTGTCAACACCTGATCTTTCATTTCTGTACTAAGAATATTTTGTACCAAATGGTGGTGTACTATTCAGGTGGGACTCCAGTTATTTAAGGGTCACAGCGCAATCTATGCATTATGGAGGGCAGCAGATTTTAAACTGAGAACAGTCATTAGTAGCCTTTCAACTTTGATCTGTGTAGCAGTTCTGGAAGCAGCCGTGAGAGACTGTTGTTAAGGGTAAGAAGTTTTGGAAGTGTAAGCGAGACGTTAGTGCAACTACAGTATCTGTCAGAGGAAGTTCCACAGAAGGAAAAAAAGCAGCCCACTGTGCTACCTAGAGAACTTTGCTCCCCCAAATATTTGCCAGTTAATAATTAAGCATTCTTCTGTCTTTTTTTTTTTTTTTTTTAAGAATAAAAAATTTAAGAGTAATTGTCCTCCACTGTCATCATCATCGTCTGTTGCTCTTCCATTTGACCTGTGCCTGTATCTGTCAACTCTTAGCTGAAGATCCCTGTTTCGCAGTAGGAAATGTGCATCTCTTCTACATCTGTTTCTCTTTTAACAGGGCAGTACAATTTATGATTCTCTGCTATTGGTACCTGCTGGGAGAAGTATGCTCTCCTAGCAACTTCAGAAATGTGTTCAAACTCCTGAAGAGTGAGCATTGGGAGGGGATGCTGCTTCTGCAATGCATGCTCTGCAGGAAGGTTGCAGAGGAGGTCATTCGTCCTTGTTTCCAAGACACAGGTTCATCCCTCCTGGCAGCCTTTCCTTGCTGAAGACATGCTTATGCTCACCTAGTCTTCCTCACAACTGTAGGAGTGCACGTTGCTCTTCAGGCTTCTGAAGGGAGGAAGTAGACTTCAGGAAGATCTTGTTCAGCCTTCCAAAGGGAGGAAGTAGAAACTGTAACCCTATTAGCCTGTTCCAACAGAAGGGGAAACTTGCTGCTCTTCCCAGGACCATGGAAGATGAGGTCAGGTGGAGAAAGGCTGTGGGATGTGGAAGACATTTCTTTGCATGACATCTGCTCTTCCTTGGCTCTGTGAAGATGAAAACAAAGTAGCTCCAAAGATTTGTTTTCATTCGCACAAACACTGTTGGAACCCTCAGAAACAGAGGCAGCATTAACAGTGCTCATTTCTAGGCATCAACAGAATCCTTGAGTCTGATTTTGAATCATATCAGTGACTTGGAGTACAATGTGTTTATTTTTCTCTTGATTGCTCGACATCACATTAATCATAATGGAAGGGAAAGTGGTGATGGCTGTTTGCAAAGTTCCTGGAAATAAGTTGCTGTTATTGTAACAGCACTCCAGCGGCATTGTGCAATACTGGACGCAAGGACCAGTCGTTAGTTAAGTGCTTGCTGGCTGGATTTGTGAATATATTTATTGTGTTCACCTGTGCTGTCATCTTTAGTGATCCGTGCACAAATAGCTAAGTTCTGTAGTGAATTATTCTGGTCTACCAATCACATCAGCATATGGTCCTGGAAGAGAAGGAATTCCTGACTCCATCTTTTCTTGTGGGCTTAGTATTTTCAGTTAAAGTCATGAGTTCTGTATTATAAATCTGAATTAATAACCTTTAACAGTAGTCCTTGAAAAATATCACTGGTGTCACGTGTACTTTTTTTCAGCATTTCTTAGATGATAAGAAACACTTTTTTTCCAAGGGATTGTTTTAAGGAGATTCTCATCAACTTTTCTGCTTTCTGCTGCAACTGACTTTGAAGCATGACAGCAAATCACCAAATTGCTTTCAGACGCACTCCAGCAGTGACTGCAGCAGTGATATGTGCTTCTTCTCTTCTCTAGAGTTCTGATTTGGGCAGTCTGCACTTCTACATTTGCTAATGAAATTTGCCAGTGCTTAACTTAATGATAGTTCTTTGTTTTTTACTCATTTTTATGAAGAGGTACCTGAGAAACAGAAGTACATACTCCACATGGCAGGAGGACAGAACAGTACATTGTAGAGTTTGTTCTGGACGTTTGCTGGACTGCACGTGTAGACCTAATTGCCATATTTTTCCTTCTTTCTCAAAGAACTTGTTTTAATCGGCTTTTCACATATAATTGCTATGGTTTTCTTTCCCCCATCCCTTTCCCTTGTACTCTTTGTTTCAGATCTAAACGAGTGTGGACTGAAGCCCCGGCCGTGCAAACACCGGTGCATGAACACCTACGGCAGCTACAAGTGCTACTGTCTGAACGGCTACATGCTTCTGCCAGATGGAACCTGCTCCAGTACGGCAAGGCTTGCTGCTTTCTTTTTCATCAAAGCCTCTGCTTGGGTTTCCCCAGGAAACTTGTATGAAATTAAGTTGTGTCCCATGCTAGAAGATTTATCTTGCTAGAAATTAGGCACTTGTACAAATTGAGCTGAGCTGCTTTTTTTTTTTTTTTCCCCTAATGAAATTAGCCTGAACAAACCAGAAGCAAATAGTTTAATTTTATTAGTTTTATTATAAGCTTTCCCAGAAGCGTTCTTCAGTGCTGTAAATCACTGCTAATTGGCCTTCAGGGAGAAGTGCTTGCCATTTTCATTGCAGCAAGACACCTGCAGCTCTGTTGTATTTTGTCCTTATAAATGTAAAATCATTAAAGCTGCAGATGTTGGTTGTCTGACTGGTATAAAATCGTACTGTCATCTCTCTGGAGATCAGGTTCCTACTTGCTCCCATAAAAGTGGATATTCTGAGTGTGTGGAGAGAGAGAAGGGAGAAGAAATGACCTCAAATTAAAGATACTCCTATTTTAAAATGTGGATAATGTCCAGGACATGTTATATATAGTATGTACTGGAATTTATTTTCTTCATGAGGACTACGTTCCATTACTCACTACAGTTGTAGGGCTTTTTTTTTTTCTCTATTGTTGTCATTTTTGGTTTTTGTTGTTGTTTTTTATAACCACGTGCATTTGCTCTTCAAAGCCTGAATGACTACCTGTGGAATTCTACAGGTATCGTAACTATAGCATGTCTCAGTTCCGCAGAGCTCACAGTGATTTTCTGTTACTGGTCAGTGTCACTGTCTAAACGCGTTCCATTATTTGTCCCTAGGTGCCCTTTCCTGCTCAATGGCAAACTGTCAGTATGGCTGCGATGTGCTCAAAGGGGAAGTGCGCTGCCGCTGTCCTTCTCCAGGCCTGCAGCTGGGGCCTGATGGTAGAACCTGCATAGGTGAGTGATCAGTTGCAGATTTAATATTTAATATATATTTTTTCCTCATAGAATTTTCATCCTTACGCTGAATGCATTTTAAAAGTTCATCAGGTGTATTTAGAATGCAATGTACATGTAGTTTCAAGAGGTGACTAATGAGGATGGAGATGTACTGCTCAGCTATTCTCAAGTGTTCTACATCAGAGATCCCCAGTGCTTTCCTCCAGTCTTGCAGGTTTCATTGGTATCCAAGCCCCTGGCCCTTACTACTGTCTACTGTTCCTGTGTAATTTTAAAGTACTGCTAAAGTCTTAGCAAGAGATGGCTTTTCTTCATGGGGCAAAAAACGCTCAATCTCCCTTTTTTGGTACGAAATGATCGGGACGTATTCTTTCTAAATAATTTCTCTGACAAGCTTAAGTTGTGCTAAACAGTAAATACCTCCAAGAATGACAATTATTTGTGGCTAGAGCTTTGTCTTTTCCTGACATGTGCTCAAGCCATTTGCTGTTGGTGAGTTTGTCTGCTCCAGGGAGTGTGCAGACACTGCTGCAGTGTAGATGCAGTAGAAAAATAGCATTGTAGATGGTAGTAAGAAAATTGAAGTGTGCATTGATTGCAGCTCATGAAATCCTAGTTCGAACAGAGTTTGAAAGACAGCTGGGAATTTAATGCTTATTTTTAGCACAGGTTTAAATTCCTCTAGACATTATTCTGTTCTTAGTTTAACCTACAGAGATCATTCTCTTGTTAAAATGTTCCTTCCAGCCAACCAGTGTAGAGCAACCAAACAATTCAGGTAGGAAAGCATCTCATTTCGAATAGATAACAAAGAAGTAAAAAAGAATTCAGCAGAGTATTCATTGAAAATAGGGATTGACTAATTAATGACTCTCAACTCAATAAATCTGTGTTCCCTGCTCTTTGGAGTAGGTTTGGTATACATTTTAGCTTTAAAAGATGTTTAGCTATTTGAGGACTGAAAATCATAATTATTTTCATTGCAAAAGAAAGTTTCATTAGATGTTTTGCTTGTGGATGGAAACTTAAAAATACATCCTTGTAAACTCAAAAACCAAATTATTTTAAAATCAGCATCATAGTCGGTTAGTACTTGGGTTGGTAATGCGGCCTTACAGCAGGACAGAAGCAATCCTGTTTGTAATCCTGCTTCCTGTTGAACGCTGGCTCTGACAGTCATTGGGTGCTGCTTGTAGTATTTGCTTTAAGAGCAGCCTCTGGCTTGGGTTTGGGAGCGTGCCTCCATTGCAGACCACTGATTCCGAGATCAGAATGCAAATCACCCCTCTGTGCCTGGTTTTCATGGGCAGCAGGAGTGAGCTACAGCCTGCTGCAGCGGGCAAAGGGGAACCTCCTTACAATGTTTGGGCCAGGTGCAAAGTGGTGCAGGTCTGTGGGTTTGCAGGAAGCCCCGGTCACTGCGCTGTGCGAGAGCTGTAGGAGGCCAGCACTTTCCTTCCGTCTTCTGCCTAATGATCAGTGTTACTCCTACCAGTAAAGAGCATCCACTCCACTTCCCATGTTACATGCGAGCAGTAGACATGTGTCAGTTTTCAACAAAGTGTTGATTAGCAGTGCAGTCCTGTACCTTTAGGATATACTATTGCCTTGAAAATTTGACAGTGTGACAACATCCAGCATGCTAACTTCCTTACATGAATTTGCAAATACGTGAATTTGTACAGAAGGAAATTCAGGCCTCTCTCAGGAGCAGGAGGGCATCAGTCACTCAACTTTGTTTTGCAGACCTGACGCTTGCAGCTGAAATGTTCCTTTTTCAGAAAAAAAAATGCACAGAGAGCAAAATCTTGCTTTCCCATAGATTAAGAGCCTGATAGAGGTGCAGAGGAAAGGCCTGAACTGTGCCCTGCAGATAACTAGCAAACGTCAGAAGCGGTGTGCTTAAGAGGCAGCCGTGCGTGGCAGGTCCCTACCTCAGAGAAGAACTGAGGTAGATTCAAATACTAAGAAGACTTCAGCTCAGTTTTCAAGGGCTAGAGAATGAGTGGTAGTGCAAGCAGCTTTTGAGTATCAGCCTGCTTTCCTGCTGAGAGCCCTGCACGCTGTGAGAGCAGGCTCTGTTGGCATCTGCCTGATGTACTTAGCATGAAGCAGCAGCTTCATGGAGCTGAGAAGTGTCATGCTGGATGAACATCCCACAGCTCAAAGCTCTGTTCTTACCTAGATGAGACACTACGTTAGGTGCTGCTGGCAGAGCAAATATAAGCCATGCGTCTCAGCACCTTTGATATCTGAAGGTCACCTTACACACATCTCCATGAAAGAGGGGTCAGCTACGGTGCAGGGTAAGAACTTGCAAAGCGGCAGACAGAGTGTTTGGCCTGTAGTGATTGACCCAGAAACATTGCACCCTTGGCCTCAGCTTGAACTCCTTGTTGAGAGCAAGTCCTGAACAGATGAGAGTTTCTGATAAGCTCACTGAGCAGGCCGTGGATTACGGATGCTTGAGATCTATATAAAAGCAAGTGACCTTCTATCACATGATGATGTAGTAGGTACATATGGCCTGTGCTACAGGAACAGTGTTTCAAGCATACTTGGAAAAACAATTACTGGGGTATTTTTTATTATTATTTCTCACCTATATCCAAGTGCTATCTTAATAACCATGCAGGGCTTAATGGGAGAAAAGTCATACAAGTGCATGACATAGCTTTTCTTCAGCCAAACACCATTACAGTGTAAGGATGAATCTTTTCAGGCCTTGAAGAAGGCATTCTCTTGTCACTCACAGGGAGTTGGGAAGGCTTCTGGCATGGGAACCATAAGAATCTGGGCATGTGGTTAAGAGCTAAACCGAGGTGACACAGCTAGAAGTGCTCAGGCGTTACTGCTGGCAGACCACCTTGCATTCAAAATAACATTTTCAGAAGTACTTTAGCTATTCTTCAGTTTTCACAATGTGAAACAGCTTCATGTGGGTCATATAGCTTGCATTTTACCTGTTACTAAGAGTAATGCAGTTCCTCTGTTTCCACAGATATTGATGAATGTGCCACTGGGAGAGTTATCTGTCCGCGATTTAGGCACTGCGTCAATACTTTTGGAAGCTACATGTGCAGGTGTCATAAAGGCTTTGACTTAATGTACATTGGAGGCAAATACCAATGCCATGGTAATACCACCATATTTCTTATCTGCATGTAACCAAGGTGTATTTTATAAACTTGAATTAATGGTTTAAAGAGGAATATTTGCTTATGGCTGGAATGTTGAAGAAGGTTATTGTAGGTTGCTCTGCATTTGTATTTTAGGAAAGGGTGGGTAATAGAACTAACTAGACTGAATGTGAAACTGGAAGCGTATGTTTTACTCCTATTGCTATTGGTTCTCCTGTGAAAGGTAGCGGGAGAGCAGTGCTGGTGCTGCAGGAATTCTTGCCTAAACTTCATCCCCACAGGTTTCACTGGGCAGAGACAGTTGTAGGTTTGGAACAGCACGTCAGCTTCGGCTGTGTCTGAGCTGTTGTGCAGTTGTGATCCATTGCATGCCCCAAGATCCAAGAAAAGAACAGTGCCTGGGGCACACCCCTGCTCCTTCCAAACCAGGCTGCAGAACCTGCTTATTCTGGAGACAGGGTTGGTAAATAACCTACCTGTCTTTGTCTCCACACATGACTGGAATGCAGCTGGTGTATGTTGTTCAACAGAGATGTTTCTGATCCCACTGCCTTAGTTTCCCATTGCCTCAGCCAATGTATGATCCTTTTTACTGAAAAACAAACAAACAAAAACAATTGTGTAGAAACAATGAGGCATTGCTTTATGTTTAAGCATAGTTTTAGAGAGAAGTCTTTGTGCAGAGGCCTAAAACATATAAAGGTCATGTATGTAGTTTCTATCTAGACATAATAGGTACAATAAAGAGGAAGTGTTTTATGAAAAAAAGTAATTTTAATACCTGGGTGTTTAAAATGTGGATATTCCTGAAGTCACCACATTAACTTCCTACTTTTTCCATTTCTGTTCTTTTGAATTTCTTGAAATTTGCATTTTTTCATGATTGTGCTACTGTTCATGATTTTGCAAAGATAAGCAGGAAGAAAGGCTTCTTCTGATTTTTGATGTAACTTTCTGTTGCAGATATAGATGAATGTTCCCTTGGCCAGCACCTTTGTGGTAGTTATTCACAATGTTACAATACACCAGGATCCTACAAATGCAAATGTAAAGAAGGCTACAGAGACAATGGAACAAGCTGCATACGTATGTAAAGCTCCTTTTCCAAAAGAAGTTTGGAAAGTAAATTCATGTGTCCATGAATCCTATGTTGTACCTTTTCAGGTATAACGCTATCAAGCTTCATTTATCTCAGCTATTTTTAAAAATTAATGAAGGTCAGAGTTTTGAGTCTTAGCATGCTTTGATAAAAATATCTCTCTCTCAGACACTTTCATAATTAGAAAGATATATTCGTCTCACCCTATTCAGAGCTTCATTCTAGAAGTTGCTTCACAATGAGGACAAGTGAGTAAGTGGGATAAGTCTGGTCAGACGATACATATTACTGATATGCTGCTATTATGTATGCTCTGCAACATGCCCCAGTCAACAGTTTGCCATGTCCACTCCCCAGATCTTAGCAGAGCTGAGAGAGGATTTCTCTGGAAGAATTTCCTCAGAGGATTCATATTTGTGTTAGGAGAAGCAGCCATCCCTCTTGGTACAGAATAGGCCATTCTAGCTCCTTAACATGCGATGTCCCTCAGGACTGCACAGCTCTATCTGCACGATCATTTTGAGCACCCTGTGTTCACATGTGGGTTCTGGTCATTGGTGGCTCACCCGTCTTTCTAAGGAGCAGTACCACTGCAAACTTGTTTCCTGTGGCTTTAGTCATTATGGCTATGCTCTCACTATGGTGATCTTTCACAGCACAAATGCTTATAAAAGTATGTTATATATGCTTATATAGCTTATGTTATATGTAGACACACTTGTCATGTTACTGGGACGTAGTCCTATGATACATTTGATATTTTTATTCGCCACAGGGTAAAAACAGCAGGCTATTCAAAATAATAGTAGTAAGCAGATGGAAAACCTTTTAACCTGCTATCTTCAAACAGTTCACTGTTTAACAAGCAGTATCTTAATTTCAGCTCTGTGTTATACTTCAAACACTTGTGTGTCCACAAAATAAATGAGTAGAATTCTTACTGGGGCTTTTAAGATCTCTAGTGAGATGAAAAGGTTTATTAACAAATAGTAAAATACAAATAACAAAACAGATGTTCTTGGATTTCATGTCTATAGAAACTCTCCTTATGATATAAATCTAAAATTTGTTACCCTTTATTTATGAAATACTGGGGAAGGTGGTATTGTAGGCAATGTCACTGTATTATAGGTGGGGCTCAATCCATCTTTTCTTTTTTGTGGAGGATTAAAAAAAAAAACAAACCACCATTCACTCATTTTCCTGGTGCTCAGCAAAGAAAAGATTTAAAAGACAGCTAGTTGGCTTCAGTTAATTGTCTATAAAGTGATAAACAGTTGTAGATGAAGAGGAGTGTTTAAAAGAAGTGGAAAGACTTGAAAAGTACTTTCTTAAACCAAAGGTATCTGCCCTGAAATGACCTGCCTTGACTGAAATGGTTGTAACACTGGAGTATTACTAAACTTCCTCTGAGTAAAAATGTGTGAAGTTTTACAGCTTAAGATATACCTTCATGTCCATGCTATTTTACTAACAGCTCATTGGGGTGAGTTTTGTTGACTGAAAGAGAGTTGATGCTTGGGAAGATGTAGGCACTGTGTGCCTGCCTTTGGTCATGCTAAATCATCTCTGATACACTGTAATGAGAAGTACTGATAATTCAGTAGTGTTGATGCTAAGGTGTGTGACTAGTTAGTGGAAACATTCAGAAGAGGCATTAATTCAGCAGACTCTTCATGGCAATGAATTATATTCTGAAGTTTCTGGAACGAGGAGTCCATTTTGCTCCCATCTTTATTCTCTTTGCAGTTACTCCTAAGATAATGACTGAACCTTCTGGTTCATATCACATATTCAGGGGCACACTGTGCTTCCTACAGGAGGCACCGGTATAAGCAATAGGATTCCTGATGCGGGATGACAGAACAGCCCCTCAGACCACCATGTGTACTTGCTTTTGTTACAGAAAGGCCGGTGACCAGACCAACAGCTCGACCCACACCTGGGCCAACAACTCGAACCACATCAAAGCCAACAACTCGACCCACACCAAAGCTGACCACTAGGTACATACCTGTGACAACAAGGCCAGTAATAAAACCAGTGGCAAAGCCTGCACCTCCAACGCCACCTCTACCTACAACGTTAAGACCTACGCTGCCACCACAAAGAACTCCTCTGATAACCACCACACATCCTTTGCTTGTTCCTGTTGAAACTACATCTTCCCAAGGAGCTACAGATGATAACAGGATACAGATAGATCCTCAGAAGCCCCGAGGGGATGTGTTCAGTAAGTAGATTTACTTACCCTTTCATTAATTGTCATTGTAGAAACCAGTGTACTGTTTTGGTGTTTTGGACTGTTTTATCAATGAGAATGAAGGCATGAAAGTGAAAATAGTCATGTGCTAGAGCTGTGTAAATAACTGATTTTATGAAATAACAAAAATGTGTGGAAGAAATTCTGGATTAATTCAACCAAAAATTCCAATTAGTTACATTTTCAGATGAAAATTTTGGAGGAAGAAAGGAAAGCCATTTTGTTGGAAAAAAGAAATATTGAAATACAGTGTAACTCATACTCATGCAACTCAGGATTGCTTTCAAACCTGACTTTTTTAGACAGTGTATTTCCCTAGCTTTGAGAACAGTAAGAAATAGGATCATGTCTGGTTTCCTGGAGGTTCTGTTCTGCTGCTCATATTCCATGAATCCAAACAGTCTTCGATGTTTATGACTAAGCAACTGTAGAATTACATAAAAATAGCATGGAGGTTAATGGTATGGAGTTCATCTATGAAAACAGATACGTAAAAGCTGAGAAGGCTGAAGAGTCTTCCAGCACAAGGAGGAGCCTTTTTAAGAGCTGCTCTGAAAGATGCAGCACTGTTTCTGTGCCAGCTGTAGCACATGCCTGAGATGGCATTACTGGCACGTGTAGAGCTGCACACATCTGCCAGGAAGCATTCAACACCCAATTTTATCTTTAGTTCTGCTACAGATCTTAGAGATGGGGAGGGTGTGTTGGATCAGCCTTTTTCCTTCTGCATGACGTACAGTAAAGCTGCTGAACAATGGAGGAGGAGGAAGTGTGCTGTCCTGCAGCAGGTGTACAAGCAATGTGGGAGTTTTTGCTTTGGCATCTATGTAGGAACTTCTGGGGATGTGTTCTCTTAGATCATTAAAGAATGAAATATTTTTGTCCTTATTAAAAATGGTTTGTTTTCCCTGTTCACATTTTGTCTGAACATTATTTAAGATAGGAAAAAAAAAGCATGACTTGGAATTTGGAAATATATATCCTGGTAGTGCTCAGAGTTTTCTTTTGATGCTTTCCAGGTTAATTTTAAACAATCCATATAATACATTCAGTTAAAACTGAATGTTTTAACAGTTTTTATGTAAGAATTTTAAAAGAAATACACTAAGGACTCCCAAAACTTAATATAATGGGAAACATAGTTAAAAATACAGTGTTCTGTGGAAATTATTTTAGACTATAGCAGTGCGTTCTAGAATGCAGCAGTATTCCTTCTAGAGGTTAGATTTACTCTTTCAGTTTGAGTGTCTGGGATACACTGTTGTACAGCCAGCCTATATGTATATATATAGGAAAAGTTCATCTACGAAGTGTTCACTTTTTGCTCAGGTTAGCTGCCACCCTTTGGGGGTTGCGCGTAGCTTCAAAGGCATCGGGGCGCAGTAAAGTGGGATTCCAAGAGGTGTCAAGCAGAGCAGTTGTTACTGGCTTCATTTGGCAGGATGGGGATGGATAGCTCCTCAGATCAAATCAATAAGTATGTCTTTAATCCCACGTTATCTTTTCCTCTACGTCCTGCGACAGAGCTGCCCGGTATACCTGTGTGTGTGATTGGTATACCTGAAATACTCTAAGTTGGCTCTAGAGGATAGGAGTTAGCACCGTTATTCTCCCCACCTTTGGCTGCTTTGCAGGAGGTATTCCCTCCCACCTGACTTGCGTCCAAAGGGATTTAATTAGTGAGTACAAAAAATCATTTGATTAGGATTTGAAACCTACAGTGTGGTGGAAAACAGTTCTGTTCTTGGAGAAGGTGTCTGACACAGCAGTGTGTCAGTACCTGCTGCTTTGCTCAGCCATCTGAGCACTTCCGTTGGACAGTCCGTGGCCAAAGGGGTTGGCAGTGTGCTGTACGCTGATAGAGGCCCCTGCTCTAGGCCAATTTCTGCAAACATAGTGGCATTCAGGAGCGACGGAGGGAATGAGATTACACGAGCACACTTGCTTTCTGCAAGCATTTCTCAATTTTAAATTTCTTGTTATTTAACGTTTTTCTGAGGTTGCTCCCAGTGACACGTTCACACTTTTCTCCCTTTGTTGCTACTTGTCCTGCCATCTCATGCTGAGCAGACCTCAACTAAGCTTTCACTTCAGAGCTGATCAGCTCTGAAGTCAGCTGGGGCCCAGTGAAGTTGATCTGTTAGCAGCCACAGAGAGCACAAAGCGTGTTGCTGTTAATGTTCTTTAAATACCTTTGCAGTTTTTGACAGGTATCGGGTTGTTGCATTTCCCTTGACGCTTTCCCCCTTTTCTAAACATGCCTGTAATGGCTTTGGGGATCTACTTTTCCACAGAACAAAAAAAAAAAAAGAGTGTTTTTTAAAATGGAATTCCTACACTTGGCCTTTGAACCACTCAGTCAGATGCAGACAGTGGAATCTGGCACCAAGGATAATCTTCTCCTGATATGGGTATGGGGGGAATGGAAATGAGGGAGGAATGCAGCGATGGCTTTAATGTTTAACTGTTTCACTGCAAACTGTGGTGAAGGAACCTCTCCTGTTTACTAAGATGGATAAAGTCTGACAGATTGAATATACTTCTCATTAACAGTAGGAATTTCTCTTACCGTTGGGATCTTAAAACAGGTCTTAAAAACATAAGCTTAAAGACAAAACTTAACGCACTGGGTATCAGCATTAAAAGACAGTTGAGCAAGTTTCTTTCTTAGTCCCCAGTGTTGCTGAAAAGACTTGAACTTGGAGTCACTTCTCGTAATAGCTATTAACAAGATTTTAAGATGGGATTTTTTCTGCTGCCCCTTCCAATGACTGAAAAGTCCTTAGTGTAGTAAATGCAGTTATGTGATCCTTGAAACTGTGGAAATAAGGGAAGCGCTATAAGTAAAGACTTGGGTTTGGTTATTCCGTGATATCATGGAAATAGCATTTTACAGTAGCATTTAACTTACCTTCACTGTTCTGACAACTATTAAAATGTATCTGTCTTAATATTTAAGCATTTGAGATGGGCACTTCGTTCCTGTTTGTACTTTGGAGCTAAACCCTAAGATTGAGGAGCTGATAGTTTAACCACAGGGCCTGTATGTGAGCTTTTGAAACAAGTTGTTCTAGCTGTGTTTCCCTCAGACTGAATTGCTACTTTCCAGTGCTTCTCTTTTCTCTTTAGAAAAGCACACTGCTTTAAAAAAAAATCTTCTGGAAGTACATAGAATAATATGTTTGATTTAGGTCAAAAGTATGAGCTTTACAATCACCTGAGAAATGCAAGAGTAGACTTTGGAGTGGTTGCTCATCTGCACCATTGCTGAGGAGGGTGGAACAGTCCACAAACATCAATCCTGAAGTAATTCTTACCGCAGAATTGGGATCTGCAGATTTATGCTGTGCAGCCAGGACACCAGGGATATCTTTTTAGCCTGGGATAAATCAAAGTCTTCCCTGGGGGAAAGGAGGATGTACTCCTCTCTAAATGACTGTGGAGTCTGGCTGACCTTTGGGCTCCCCTTTCCTTTAGCTGCTTTCTGCCAGTTCTGTGTGACATCTCATCACTTCGGGGGATTTTTGCAAGTGGAATTTAACAACTTTTAATCATAGCAACTATTCAGGCTGAAAAGCTTTTTGTGAGTTTTGTTTTGACCATGAGTGGGAAGTTTGGTCATGATCATTGTGTGGAATGGAAATGTATAGGAGTGCAGTGCTCCTTGTAAGGCAAAACTGGGTAGTAACAGTAGTAACAGTTATTGTAATAGGAAGCTGCACTCCATGTTTTGCTTTGGTTTTGTACCACCAAAGCAACGATAGGGCTGTAATTAAAAAGGTGTGATTTGTACAACCATCTCTCACACTCCCAAGCTCAGTAATTAACAAGTAAATGAAAATGGTCCTATTTGCTTCCCCAGGGATTACAGAGCTGAAAAGAAACCAGTCCTTAGCAGTTGCTAAATGTTCCCTCCCTGCCCATGCATCCAAGAAGTGCTCCAGCTAATTCACGTGGAGGATATGGCAGTGTTGATGTATTGGCTCACTCAGAGCTTACAAAATTCTCCAAGAAGCCAGGTTTATATTTAACGAGCTTTATCAAACTGTTCAAGTTCAGTGAAAAACACACTTGACATGCTATATAAAGTACACAGAAAGGGCCTGGAAAGCTTGCAGAAAGTAGCTGTGCCAAATACTTGCTCCCACGATCACCACTCCACATACACGTTGTCGTGGCGCAACACAGGGAACACATGGAGCACATGGAGAGTCCCGCATCGCTTGTGGTAACTCTGCTCTTGGATCGAGTGCACATTCCTCTCATTAGGTGTGAGCACTGAACAGGCTGTTTGAAAGCCCAGTGTGCTTTTCTAGGAGCCCATAAAAGCACTGGGAGAGGACTTAAGGGGAAAGGTTTGAAGATTCGTTTATAACTTTTATTTTTTCAAACCTTTAATTATTGGCAAGTAATGTCAACTTTAATTTGGAGAATGCTTGTATGTGTGCACAGACAGAATGGATTTTTAGAAAATGAGCATAAAATATGAAAGAGATTTATGGAATTCTAAGTATATGAGAAATGGTGTTGTACTAAGCAAACTGAAATAGTGATAATAGTAAAACAAATTCCTAATATTTCCTGCAGTTTGTTCCTGCAGCTTTTTGCTGCCTGAGCTGAACTGTTTTTTGTTATGTGACTGTATTATTTGTGCATAGATATACTGCAGAATGTTTACTGGACTAAGTGGTGTAGGTTGTTCAGATTCATAAGACTTCTACTGTATTAAATCTCACAGGAGCAAAAGAAACCCATTAAACAAAATAGTAAAAATATAATTGCAAACAATATCTTAAAAAAGAACAGGCCTTTGCTCCCCAGGCTCACCTGAAGTCCTTAAGGCTGATCATGCACTGGTATCATGGACTGCAAATTGATGTCTTCCAAAATCTACAGGTGATTCTGAAAATGAAAAAAAAAAAAAGAAAAGTTGTAAGAATTAGTGTAGAAATTAACAAGTTTCATACAGCCTTTGAGTTTATTTATGTGTTACAGATCTTGTAGAGCATATTGCTTTTAAAATAATTTGCACTTGATTGATTATTTTGTCCCAAATGTAAGAGGCACAAAGCTACTGTACTGTTTTATGGTTGCTCTGTCTTCTGGATTTGGAGTTCTTACAAAGTGCTATCTATGTGTTGTCCTCGTGCAAAAGAATCTTTGATTTGATTTTTGGGTTAAGGAGGACAGACAGGATAGCTCCTTCTTTCACATGGAGCCTCATTCAAATGCCAGTGCCTTGTGCTGAAGTTGTCCTATGAAGCATCTGCGCAAGGTGAGTGGATTGGAAACTGAGAAAGGGCTTTAATGTGTCTGTACATTGCTGAGAAACTGCTATCTTAAGAAGTACATTTGGAGAGGAATTGTGTGCTTCAAAGTTAGAGATTTCTTTTTTTTCTTGGTTGAAAAAGCAGCTTTCATTAGAAGAGCCCTTAGCAGCTTTGCAGTCACCTTTTACAGAGCTCAGATAAATGTTACAATATAAATCACCTAGGCATAAAGTTTATGAATCTTTGTGTCAACTGTAATTAAATATATTGAATTTTCCAAGAGAAGCACACCGCCCAGAGCTGCTCTCTGTTTTTTATTATAGATAAGGCAGTGGGTCACTATCTTTATCTCGTTCATTTCTGAAAACCTACTTTTCTCACAGTTCCACGCCAGCCCGGAGTGAGCAATAACCTGTTTGAAATACTTGAAATTGAAAGAGGGATTACTGCTGATGAATTCGAAGCAAATGATGACCCAGGTAACGATCAGTCTCCTGTTTGGGGCCCAGGGTTTAGGATTGCTTGAGACCTCTTGTGCTTGTACACAATTCACAGGACTCCCGGATCTTATGCCTCCTGTTAGGCTGTGCTTTGTAAAAAGAAAACAACTACCTAAATGGCCCTTCATAATCTGTTAGGAAAAGGAACTGAGCACAAAAAAAGCACAAATTGTTAGTAATAACAATTGTATCCCTTTTTGTTTTAGTATTTTGGTACGTCCTTTTTCTAGTGCTCCTTCACTTTTGTATTTCTGTGCCTGGGTCAGCCACCAGGGCTTTAGTTCCCCAAGCAAAAGACTTAAATCACTGTTTTGCTTTTTGGCTCTTCTGCCTAGGCACGCTGGTACACAGCTGTAATTTTGACAGTGGCCTGTGTGGATGGATCAAGGACAAGGATGATGGTTTACACTGGGAGCCAGTTAGAGACGCGTCAGGTAAGGCACATGCATACGATCTTATCTTGTAGTTGAAGAAGTATCTGGTCTTGAGGTTGATAACAGTTCTTGAGTTATGACAGATTTACACAGATTCTGTATCACGTTAGTTGTGGTATGTATTTATTTCAGGCCCACACCTCTTCTGTGTATAAAATCAAAACTAGGGATTCCAACATGAAAGGTCATTTGTGTTTTTATCTTAGCTGATGTCTTTACAAGAAAAATGGCTCCAAAAGAGGAATGAGTGTGTTTAGGAAATGATTGTACACAGTAACAGATCACCCAGAGGGTGGTGATACACTGGAACAAGCTGCCTGTTCCAGGCAGGAGGAGGTTGTGGATGCCCCATCACTGGAGGCATTCTGGTGGTTGGTGATCCTGCACATAGCAGAGGAGTTGAAACTAGATGACCATCGTGGTTCTTTTCAACCCAGGCCATTCTATGATTCTGTGATTAGCTTATTTTTCAACCAATGATGCAAACTTAATGATTTCCATGTTACCAGTAAAATTAGAAGGTGCTGCAAATAGTCTGTTCTGCTGTTACTTACCATGCTCCAGTTTTAATGCGATCTGTTTCACTTTATGAAATTCAGTGCGAAGTTACGGAGAGCTGTGTATAGGAAAACCATTAAGTAGCTGGAAAGAAGGAAAGTCAGGCTGCCAGTGCACAGAGATTTCTGAGAACAGGGAAGGCTGGGGTAAGAAAAAGTGACCCTGGGGCAGCGCAGTAGGCTTGTGCAGGACAGGAGGAGGCTGACAGCCACAGCCCTGGGCATTAGACACACAGCTCTGGCTGCCTGTAACCACGGGATTACCTCATACCCAGAAGAGGAAGAGCAGCCTTTGATGTACACAATGTTGGCATTATGTGAGCGGATGGAGGCTGAGGAAGGAAAGTGCTCTCAGGCGGTAAAATGCTGTAGGTGGTAAATTGCAGAGGGAAGATGAGGGCACTGAGAGCTGTCTTCCTTATGTACCACCTTGTCAGAGATGCCTGTGCTTCCATTTGCTACTGCAGCATGTGCGCCCTTTTCAGGCTGTTAATTATCTATACTTTAAAAATTGTTGTTAATACACACGAAGTTCCAGTACTGTGATTCTGAACTAGCTTTTTTTTTTTTTTTTTTTTCCTTTTCAAAACTTTTTTTCCTCTTGTGTTGAGTTCCAGTCAGGGACAGTCTCAGCTTTCTGTTTCCTGTGTATGCTCTGCTGCTGTTGACACAACCTGTTAAAACCAGTCCCCTGAAGTCACCCCCCCTGCTCCCTCCTGGCTAGAATACCTCGTTTCAGAGATTTATTTTCACAGCTTGTGCCTGAGTGTTTGCTTTCACCTTTCAAAGTTTGATATTTATTGGCATTTTGAAAGGTGCCATGCTGAAGCTGTACAAGCTTATCTTGCATGCAGAAAATGCTGCTTTGAGGGGACCTTCAACTATAGAGACATGCCTAGAGATAGGCTGGCGTTATGCCTACCTAAATCTGTTTCCTATTGATTGGATTCAGTCACTGTAACTATCTGAAACAGATGCAGGTAATGAGTCAAATCAGTGATGTAACTGTATGTACAACAAACAAGTGCATTATTTCAAGTCTCTCATTTTAGCAGTTGGTGACTTTGATACAAAAACAATGCACTATTACTACTACAAAAAAAAGCAAGCTTTAACACATACTTGGACAAATGTAACCCACTTTATGCCCAAATGCAGACCTGAGACCTTAGACAACAAAAAAATACTTTGCTTAGTTAACTCTCATTGAAAAAAAAAAAGGAATTTTAAAATGGATGTAGAAGTAGAGAACTGGAGAGGAGGCTTGCTCTCCTTTGCTTCAAAAGCCCTGGTACCTTGTTGTGGGATCTCACAACTTTAGGGGGAAATAATTGTGGCTTTAAGAAGGAGCCTTTTAAGAAAATGACTATTTTGAGTAGAGGCTGAGTAGAAATATGGCCACAATTTAAAATAGTATTCCATTCTGTAGTGAAGCAAAATTGTATGTCTGCAGTATTTAAAAATAATAATAATAAAAAAGAAAAATCAACATTTCTACATCATAGGTTCCATTTGGGGAGCCTGAATGGCACTTTATCAAAAGCTCTTAAGGTAAATCTGCTCTTATATAAATAGTGATTCTGAGGTTCAGAGCAAGAGAATCTTTCTCTCTTTCTTCTTTACTCTCATTTTTTCTCTTTATGCTCTTCTTTCTCCCTTCCTGCTCTCTTCTTATTCTTCTTTCTTCTCCTCTTTTTTCTCTCCCTTCTCTCTTTTCCCCCTCTTTTCTTATTCTCCTTTCTTTTTTTCTCACTTCCCTCTTCTTTCTCTTTTCACTCTTCCTACTGTTTTCTCTTCTCTCATCCCCCTTTTCTCTCTTCCCCTCTTCTCTCTTCCTCCCTTCTCTTCCACTCCTTAGCTTCCTTTTCTCTTCCTCTCATCCCTCCATCCTTACTTCCCTATGATATCCTCTACTTTTCCGTGCACTTGGCAGTATTTTTATGAAGCCACTTGCACTTTCTCATGATCATGCACTAATTTTTAATTAAGTGCTTATGTTCAGTAGCAACTCAGTATTGTTGGAAAAGACTTCAGCAAACGTATCAGGCTGTCAGCCTTTTGGAAATCATAGCTCTGTCCAGCTTTCTATGTCTTGTCCAGATTAGGAATTTAAATTATCGTTAAATAAAAAAGCTGTTCACGTGTGCTAATGGAAACCCCGTGAGACTTCATGCGTTAAGACAGTTCTCAAGAAGAAAAAAGGAACGGATCTGGGGGTCAGTTATATTGTAGTATATTTATGCAGGCCTTCATGCAATGGCAAAACCCTGCAGCTTACAATATGTGTAAAGCAACACAGTAGCTTTAATATCAATGGGAATTTAAAACCAACGTAGTCACCCAAGGGATGTGTTGAATGAACAAATATATGAGCTTCGTTTTCAAAAGATACAATATTTGCTTTGTAAAAAAAGTTATAGGAAAGATCTAACCTGGTACCCAATGTAAACAAGGGACCAGGACTGTAAATCTTACCTTGTGGGAGGGAGATGTGGCAGTTCCAGTGCATATTCCAGCTATAATACACTTCACTGAAGACTTGCTGGACCTTGTGGAGCCCTGTTTTGTTTCTTTCACAGCGCTTAAGCATTTGGTCCTGAAATTTTAAGAAGTAAAATCACAGAATCACAGAATCACCCGGGTTGGAAGGGACCTCAAGGATCATGTAGTTCCAACCCCCCTGCCTAGCAGGTAACGAAGGAATTGCTTTTTGTTTTGCAGGGGGACAATATCTTACCATCTCTGAACCCAAAGGCACAGAGGGAAAAGCAGCACATCTTATTCTGCCGCTGGGCCACATGGCTCAGCCTGGGGACTTGTGTCTGTCATTCAGACACAAGGTGCCCGGGCTGCATTCGGGTGCCCTGCAAGTCTTTGTGAGGAGAAGTGGTGCTCATGGACCAGCTGTGTGGGGAAGGAACGGCGGGCATGGCTGGAGGCAGACACACATAACTCTGCGAGGACTGGGCATCAAGAGTGTGAGTACAACTGCAAGGCCTGTACCTTTTTTCCCCATGAAAATCTGAAGACACTTGGTTTGTGTAGCACTTGGTTATTTGCTTCCTGGGTTTACTTCCAGACCTTTTTATTTCTACATTTATCCTTGCCAATGGAATCACATTTCTAATTAGTTCTGTCCAAAAAAAAAAACCAACACAAACAGAAACCAAACCAGCACACCAAACCCAGAACACTCATAGATCTAGATAGATAGAAGCCTACACAATTGCCAGCACTGAGCTACCATGTATGGCTTTGTAATTTATTATAATCACTTACGGAGGTGAGAGCAACCTACAGGACAAAAGCATACCGCCAAGGGATTTCCAAATAGCCTGTATCAGGATGGCTCACGAAGGATGCTTTTTGAAAAATACAGCATCATTGGAATACAGATAGTCATCCCTTGTGGATTAATTACTGGTTAAAGAGGGCACGGACAGTGCAAACAGTCAGTTCTGACAGTGCCGGTCGCTTACCTGTGCAGCTGCCCATGATTTTGCTTTTCAGCTGAACTGCTGCCGATCTGGATAAGGAGATAAAGCTAAGATGCCAATAACACAAAACTGTCTAATGTTATCAAAAACAGCTGTCTTAAAGTACCATCTTTTAATCTTAATCTTAAAGTAGCATCTTTTAATACCTGGAGAGCTTAGAAACACTGGCTGATTAGAATGATGCATCAGAAGGTCAGCAACTTCTTCAAGCTCTGCTTTCTTTGAAGGTAGTTTCTGTTTCAGATCAGAAGAAAAGGTATGGATGCTTTAAGGGTGGAAGAGGCTACAACACACATTATAGTGGTCCTAAAATTAAGGCTGAAATTAATGCAGATAACTGTCTGAAAACTTGCCTTCAGGAACAATCAAAATGATGCCCAACATTCTGCTGGCTGTAAATGAATGCCAGACTGAGAATATGGACATTTGTAGCAGGGAAACAGTATACTCAGCAAAAAAAATACAACAGAGTAACTGTAACACTGTAAATAGAGGTAAGGTGCTTCCTAAGGTCTCTCTTTTTAAGAGCAGCTCTTGAAATAAGTGTGTGTTATTAGATATTTTCATTTTTCTAAATAAATGATTTATAGATGCCCCCATGCTTGTAAACAAGAGCAGGAGTCCCTTTGCACCACCCCTGCTGCAGCAGCAGCTGTCAGCATGGCACATAGCCCCTCACTGAGCGCTGGGCTGAGCAGCGCTGCTCTGCAGCTCCTCACACAACCATCAGCCTGGGAACTTTTCCAGCCAGGGGGGGCAGCCTAGGATGCTGGCCTGAACCCTTTGTGTCATTCATCCTGAGGATCAGGGAATGAAAGCAAACTCTAGTTGAGCAGGGAAGGCCCCAGCCACAGAGAAGTCAGGAAATACAGACATATTTCTAGCTATTTAAAAAACAAAAGCAACCAACCGCTGGTGCTTTTGGGGCACCTGCTGGAAACTTAAAGAGAATATAAATGGAGTCCTTTATCACACTTCCTAATGAATAAGGTTTGTGTTTTTCACCGCCATTTTTTGAGGACAAATTATAGCTCCTGCAAAGTCATAGTAAAGTACAGGATGAGTGTTTCTAGTTCCAGCCGTGCTTGGCATTTTACTAAGTCAGCGCTAAGGTGTTTTAGGAGTGGAAGGCTCTTCTATTAGACAACAGTTTTTGTTAAAACAGACAGGATTTTATGTTTGCTGTAAGGACAACAAGAACAGTGCAGCAAGGAGCTACAGAAAGCACCACAGACTCTCACATGGAAATTCTCACCTTGGTAGAGGCACCTGGAACAAAGCTTCAACCAGCGCCTTGATTTGTGTCATAACTCTGTCCTGAACTGCTGCCACTTCATAGGGATCCTGCCAAAGAGAAAAGGAGCAGAGAAACAACAATAATTCTAAGCAGAACAGATTGGCTGAGCTTTCTTACGCTTTTACATTCTTGCTGTTAGGCAGTTGCCCTCCTAACCAAAGATTCTTCCATCTACTTTTGGCACTCCAATTGTTCTGTTTGTTTTCCCAGGTTATTTTCAAAGGAGAGAAAGGAAAAGGAAGAACTGGGGACATTGGACTGGACGATGTGATGTTGAGAAGAGGACACTGCTCTGAAGAGCATTAGCAAAGACAGTGGAGTAGCACAGCCCACTCCTGCAGCCCTTCTCATGCTATTCTTACTGAGCTTTGAAACAGAACTGCATGAAAAAGGAAAAACAGATGGAGAATGACAATTTCTTAGTGGTCTGCTAAGTGCAATCTCACTGCAACTTCAATTAAAAACATGAAGACCTCCTCCTGGAATTCAGGAACTATAAATCAGTGCTGGTTGTTTCTATTAATCCTTGCCTCTAAAACATGTTTTGTATGTAGTAACTTTATCCCGTTTAACCCGAGTACTCACCCAAAGAGCACTTGTGAAAAAGGGAGAATTAATTACAAACAGTATGAAATCTCTGGCTTGGAAAGTCTTAGTATTAACAGATATTCATTATTTTCCCATAGTGTTACTCTTCTATTAATTAGATTTGATAGACAGTGGGATTGATCTGGCTTCAGAGCTATCCGAAGCCTGGACCTGAATTCTGGATCACTGCCATTGACCTTTGAAGAAGGGTTGTTCCTTATTAAACAGCATTTATTTTGGTCTTGCATCTGTATCAGAAAGCAGTTATATAGAGTAGGCACTGCATCCTGTAATATTGCTACTGCTGTGTTTTGTGTATATGTGTATGGTTATTAACATATTTATGTTTTTAATATTTACAGACTCTAGTTGCAAGATAATTGGCAGTCTGTGCTTTCTTGCTGCACAGGAGAGGAGCTCAGCACACTGCGGGATCCCGCTGGTCGTGCCGAGAAATAGGTTACCAAAGTCAGCTAATGGTGCTCATTGCAAAGTGCCGGTACAGTATCCAGGTGGTCATATGCTGAAGGCAAAAGACCAAATCCTTACCTATTGTAAACTGGCACCTCATCATGCTGCACAGGTCTGTCTCTAGCTCAGGAGCCAGCCCTCAACCCTGCCAGCAGCTCCTGCACAGCCTGCAGAAGGCCACTGGCAGACGGTACGATTGTGCCCATCGAACCACCAGGAACGATCCCTGCCACACGGGGCACGAGCCCATGCGTAAGCGAAGGAGGGCAGCTGTGTTACTGCTGTACAAACAATTCAGACCGTGAAATGCCTTGAGTCACCTTTGTATAATGTCCATGTTCTACCCAAGTGTTCTGTATATAATAAACATCCAACTGTTTAGAACTAGAACAAATGTTAGCTCTCGCTGGCGCTAAATATTTATCAGAACTTTGGGCTAACTTTCTTAGTTTTGTGTCATGCACTTGGTCTGCAGGTTCCCAGGGAATTCTTCCATTTGGTTTAGAACTTTTAGATGAGGAACATCATCATCGCTGTTAAGGATCCTAATTTTGACAATAGTAACATTTCAGAAAATGGCAGAAGATGGATAAAGTGTTCTTAGTGGCACAGTCTTAAAGCTTAAAAAATATATACGTAGCAAAAATAGGTCTCAGATCTTTTAAATACTTACATAAAGTGTAAAACAAATGTCAGCTGCATATCTTGTTACAGAATTGTAATTAAAACTAAGTCAAACCTTGCAGCAAGGCTACAGCCACGAGAGTCCATATTTCAAATGGCTGTTCCTGCCAAAGTACCCTTTTAAGAACATTTTTCCACTTTGTCCCTTAGGACACCATCAGCATTGTATGTACAGCAAAAGCCTGTGTGACCAAGCAGATCGATATTCTCCTGCACAAATGCATCAACAAACATTCTGAAATGGAAGCGAACCACATATTTGTTAAAATTCTGGCAACTGTTTTGCTTCAATTATGGTCATGATCTGTCTTCTCTTACGTTATTTTGCAGTGTGTCAGAAATATTTGTGAATAGTTGAAATGACTTGTCCTTATTTTAAAGTAATCAGTAAAGAAAGCTGTTACTTGATACTACTGCGAATATCTTATTTTCATTTCTGGATCAAAACTCTCATTATTGCGATGGAATGAACCAAGAGATGACAATGTAGTACTTAAATACATAACTATTATCAAATTTTAAATTAAAATGCATTTAACTATGTGAAAGTGGTATATATATATTACTCAAAAAGAAGAGTTACAGTTTCCAGCCTAGCTTTTAGAACAGTTTCACAGGTAAATAAGCATTTTCAAAATATGAAGTGTGTATTTTAGAAATGGCTACTACAGTACTCCACACTGCAGCACAAATTGTTACAGTCTGGGGCTTCAAACAAAATTAACATACTTGGATCTGTTTCTCATACAGTGGAAGAAGTGGTGTTTCACCATGTATTATGTCAGCACTCAAAGACTGAGACTCACTGGTTGAAATAAAAATCTGTGTAAGTAAGTAAGTAAGGCTTATCGGGGTTTGCCCACAAAATGGCAACTTAGAAATGGGCGTTAGAACCCCAAGTGTGCATGAATACAGATGGTAAACAGAAGGAAGTACTCAGATGACAACAGGAGGAATTAGTGCCTTTGTGTATGAATTATTTCATGTACTTCACAATCAAACAAGTAACACTGTAAAGCACTGTGAGCACTGACACTGTAACACAGGGACAGCCCTTGTCAAGTCTGGCACTAAAAGAGCTGCTGTGCTGAAAGTCACTCACCTCTGCCCTGGCTCTGCAGTGCCACCATGTTGTCCCCTTCTCTTCCATTCTCACTCTGTTTCTGAAGTGATGAGGTGTGAGGGAGTTGGCTGGGGTGATGCTGCCACTCTTCCAGGTGCTTCTGTGCCAGCCAGGACAGAGCAGATGCTGCCATGTTCATGCAAGCCTCAGAAAAAAAAAAAAAAAAGTCCTGAGTTGGTCTTACAAAGAACTTTATCACTGCCCTTTCTGTTCAGACCTTCATAAATAGATGCCAGACAATGAAAGTCTGCTTGTATATGCATAGGCAAGTGGAAGAAATGTGCACAGCATGAAAACAGCTACCTGTATGACCTTCTGACAGCTTACAACATCGTGTGTTAAAAAGACACGGTAAAACCTTCTCCCCAACAAAGATGTCAAAAAGGCTAACAAATGACAGATACTTGACCAGTGACAGCGTGCACACACACACTGTGTTTGCTGACATGGAAGTGACTACAACAGAAGGGACAGATGCAAGGCTGTGCTTCCACTTTCCTTTCTAACCTGCCACCTCACTTCTCATCAAACCCATGTCATTAAACCCCAAATACACATGTATTATATGTATGTGTATGGTAGTATGTAAAATTACCATAAAGTAAAACAGTAGCAAATACACACACACATATACACACATAAGTATACAGCAAAGCCCAAATTATCAGAGATTTCCTGGCAGGTTAAAATGCACTTACCTGCTGGCGTATCCTGACGTCCTGGAGTTTTATGACTTCAGTTTTTCCACAGCAAAAAAAAAAATCAACAACCCTCCTAGATGAGCAATATGCATTGGTGTAAGCCTGCAATGTTAGAAAGAAATAGCAGATATTGCAGTAATAGGATCCCATTAGGTTGCTATTTTTCTCCCAGGAAACGTTCAACTTTGCTCCAGAGTGCTAGGTGGGATACCACGCTTACATCTGCTTACACATGCTCAATACACATGGGCAGTGTAGCTCTACCCCTCATCTTCTTAGTAAACACACCAAGCAACAAAGCAAAGCGGACCTGCACTGTCTGGGTAAAAAGAAATAATTCTCTGTTCTCATGTTACTTAACATGAGTATCCAACCAACTCTTTTTGTTGCTTTTAGGAATGTTTAACCTCATTCTGAAGTATTTTTGTCTCTTTACTGTTTTTCCCTGTAGTTCTGCCATTACAAGATTCCTTAAGGCCCCACAAGGAACAAGTCCCCACTGCTATCAAACCACTCTTCTGGAGGTAGCACAGCCACTAACCACATCCTGAGAGCAAAAGGGACATTTCTAAGGTGTGCACTGCACCCAGTAGGCTGAGGTCAGTATTAAGTGGCTGAGAAAGCAAGCCAGGTATTCATCCAGCACAGAATATGGATGTCCCTCTTGGTGTGGCACCGCCAAATCCTGCTTTCCTTTGCATAACAGATACTATGGCCCTTTTCCAATAACTTCTGTTACCCTGCTATTTTATGACTTTTTACCTTCTATTGAGGCCAGGAATCCTTCACATTCTTCTCCCAGTCTTTTCCTCACTGTGCACTTCAGCAGTCCAGTGTTTCACTTCTGACTTTCTTCCAGAATCCTTTTGCTTTGGTTTGCGCTTGGCAAACGCCTGTGAAGGCGAGGTACAGCATGCATCCACACTGACTGACTGCACTGCATTCGCGTGCTCTGCTGGTCCCGAAGTTTGGGACTTCCACAGACATGGGATTGCAGTGATACACGGGCTGCTCTAACCCTAACCTCCCCCTCCCTTAGCTCCTGCCCCACCCCACAAGCCCTGATTTAGGCCATGGAGGATGTGCCGGCCAGAAGAATGCTCTCTGAGGACATACTGGTGCGACACAGACAACAGAGCAAACCCCTTCCTGCAGCAACACCCTGCAAAAGCCTCAGATGGATGTGTGAGTTTTCCTCTCAGCAGGCTAAGCATGGCTGATTTGCAGACCTATGCATACAATAGACCAACAAACACAAAATCAGCTGCTAAAAGCCACAGCCAGGGCAGGTTGCACTGAAGTGCTCTGAAGTAGGATGGTCTTACAAAAGCGCTCATGAAGGAAATCCTAAGGATGCTTGGATCCAAACCCCCTATCTCACGTCTGGTACCTACCAAGGGTTGCAGCTGCTGTCCCTTGCACCTGCTCATACTCCTGGTGGAAAGCATTGCTGCTGACCGTGGCTACAGCCCTCAGATCCTCCAAGCTGGTGAAGTCAACAGGTGGACAGACAGCTTTGCTTCTGACTGTACTTGTAGCATGCTCCTGGCCCAGACAGCGGTGTGACATAGTCACCTCTCCATCAGCCCCTCATCAGCCTGCCTCATATACACTCAGTGTATATGGGTGGCTCCCAGCCTTGAAACTCGTCCGTCTCAGTCCTTTGTCACAATGCAGCTCCACAGCTGTCCTGCCAGAAAAGAAAATGCTTTCAGTGTGGTTTTCTATGAATTTGCTCCCTGGCAAGCACAATAGTACATGTGCAGCACAACTGCTCAGAGAAAGAGATAAGCAGCCCAAACAATATCTTGATATGTGATTGGGAACAGATCAAAGGCAACATCCAAACTTAGAGGAAAAAAGCTGGTTAACTTGAAAGAGCAAGTCTCTTCTCTACGATTTTGCACCAGCTAACGCTGGAATTTATTCAGAGGATTTAATATCAGCATATGAGGATGCCAAGCACAAGTAAGCCTTCTCTTTTTCCAGCTCTCCCATCTAAATAACAAAAGCAAGAGCAACACAGTGAAACACATTGTCACATCCCTGCCTTCAGCCCAAGAACAAAAAGTAGGAGCTCCTCTTCTGTAAGCTCACAGAAGTGTGCTCTCTTCAACATGACTTTAAGAGCTGGAGCACCTCGTCTGTGAAGAAGGGTTGAGGGATTTTTTTAGCTCAAAGAAGGCTTCGGGGTGATCACTCTGCAGCCTTCCAGTACTTGAAGGGAGCTTACAAGTAGGAGGGAGAGTGATATTTTACACAATCTGATAGTGATTGGGCAAGAGGGAATGGCTTAAAACTAAAGAGGGAAGCCTGAGCTTAGACGTTACAAGGAAATTCTTTACTCAGAGGAGGGTGAGGTGCTGGCACTGCTGCCCAGAGCTGTGGGTGCCTCATACCTGGAGTTGCCCAAGGTTGGATGGGCCATGGGCAGCTGGTGGGGGGCACCCAGCCCACAGCAGGGGTTGGAAGGGCTTTAAGGTCCCTTCCAACCTAAAGCATTCTATGATTCAACATCAAATATGCACGATTCACATTATAATCTAGGGAATCCTTTCAAGCAATGCACCCCAGACTGTATAAACAGGACTCTACAACATTTAAACTGCTCACTAATATTAAACCCAACAGTTCTGTGGCGTACAACAATTTACATAGAAACCAGACACCTTTATTGCACAGTTAGAGGTGTTATTAAACTGAGCAATTCAGTCACCCTCCTGTCATATGCCACCAGTTTTATCCTGTTTACACAAAAGATATTTTAATTGGCTGAACTCCATCACTGAAGGCTGACTGCTCAAACCGAGTGACATTTAATTACCCACAAGGAGCAGGAGGCCGTTTTGTGGAGTGTGTTGTGGAATCTCACTATTCTGGCAGCTCAGTTGCATGTCAGCACACTCACATGCTCACTGTGAGCTCCTCTGCCAGCTTTTATCAGAATAGATTAATTTGTTTTCCAAATGAAGATATGCAAGTGGGGCTTGAAAAAACATTTCATTAATACCAAAATAAAACAGGCAGAAAAAGTACATCATGTATTGAAGGATACCTTCATCATTATACAGTCTTTGGTTGACTTGAACAGGTGGTTAGAGGGCTAGACAGGAATGGAAAGGGTTAAATTTGGCTTGGCCGCAGAGCTCCAGGCTCTTAGCAGTGTCATTGCTCACCTTGTGCTCATCCACCCTTACCCACAATTCCTACTTTTATGAGCAGGTTCAGCATTACAGCAATCACATAGATGAAGACTTAAAAAGAGCATTTGCACCATCACTGAACCAGGAAAGCAGGGTAAGACAGAGTGTTCCTGGGGCCTTGCTTCTCAGCACACTACAGTTCTGCTGCAGAGCCCCCAGCCTAGCCCACACTGACACCAATTTAATCAAAGCCCTTGAATAAACCCTACCAGCAATTTTATAAGCAGAGTACCTAAATGCAGGCAGCCTTACCTGAAAAGCACAACCTCCTGAGCTCCTTCCTCTGGTTCCTGAATTCTGGCTGCAAATTCAGATCTGGAATTTTCCTTTGTCTTGCCCATGGTGGATAAGCTTTGGAGCTGGATGCTCTTCTTGCTGTACATGAGATCGGAGTACAACTCTGTCTTCTGCATGGGAAGGTGTGCTTCCTTCCTCCATTGATCTTTTCCTCCTCCTCAAGTGGCTCTCCAAGTTCTTCAGCTGCACTCTTACCCTCCCAGTCCGTTTCAGAGCCCCAGACTTCTCTTGCTCTTCCAGCTCTGTGTTGCTGCTGTGATCTCAAGCTTTTGATGAAAAACAGACTATCACGGCCTTCATCCTCAGCTGCATGCTTTCTAGCTTAGGCCCCCATCTGCCAGGAAGATTCAAGTTAGGTATATAGCACTGCACCTGGCAGTGTTTGACAGATCCTGCCCAAAACATAATAAAGTTTCTTTGCCTCAGGACCCGCTGAACCCAAAGACTGTTTTCTCTGGCACCAGAGGCCAATTTACTTGAGATAAATATTAAGCAATCAGAAATGTTTTACTTGAGCAACTATGAATTCAGAACTCTTTCCTGCAGCTGCAGTCACACCCCTTGCGCCTGCAACACTGAATTAATCAAAAATAAATAAATACATACATACATAAATAAATAAAGTCCTCTGGTATTTTCTTAATAGCCATTAAGCGGCAGGGCATTCTGTCAGCCACATACTCACATCGTTACTCCATCTATGCCTCTTGACTAAAGCATTCCAACTCAGAAAGATTAGCCAGCTGTCAAAAGGAGAACAATAAGTTCTTCCCTGTGCAACCCTTATTTTATCCTTGTTCTCCCTGAGAAGTAGCTCAGGCCCAGCAGAGCACCACCTTTCAGTTCCTGCCCCAAGGCTCTGTCACATCTTGGAAATGTCCAAGCCCTGTACGTTTGCTGCAACTCAGACCTTCCACACACTAAAAAAAGAAAAGAAAAAATTGTAGCTCTTTCAGTGTTTCAACAAGCAGAAACAGTGAGCCAGAACAAGTACTGCTGCCCATCCACGTAATCATGACATGTTTTGTACCTGAAAAAATAAAGTTACTTAAAATGAGCAAGGAGCACCAACACAGCCTTTCCAACAATCACACTACTCCCTTCATCTGAGGAGATGGCAGACAAGTTGAGCTTGTGACTCACTTGTCTGGTAACTCTAATGAGAGTGCTAAGTCCATATAAGCTTGGTTAAAATACAATATCCAGAGCAGCCAGCTGTTCCCTCTCCTCTGTACTCGTTCCCTGGTTGAAAATCCAAAGCAACATTTTTTCTAACAATATGTAAAGAAAAACAAAGATTAAAATTAGGGCAAATATTTTCATTCACCAATGTCGCTTTCTAAACCTTCATTAAACTCCCCAGTAAGCAAGGTCAGATCACATCTATCTTCTGTTCACAAACACAATTTATTTCTGCTTGCTCACGGTCCCTGCCTGGGGAGAGCACACCCAAGCAATCAACCTCTTGCTCCCAGCTCCTGACCCCATTCCTTTCTCTCATCCTTTTACATTCAGAGCTCTTTGCTGCCTGATCCAAGAGATGAGGCAATGCCATCACACCATCATGCAGAAGAAATTGCTTCCTGCCATGTTTGCTATCTGCCAGAGCACATCTGCAGCTGGCTGTCCTCTCCTCTGCTGCTGATGTGCACAGCTACACTTGCAGGGCCACAAGGTGCAGAGCTCTGGAGACTCAGAAACAACCACAAATATTTATGTATGTGAGGGCAGACTTGCTCTGGCAGGCAACAAACATGGCAAGATGCAGTCTCTCCTTTGTAAAGGTATGATGCCTCTAGATATGCATTCAAAGGTTGCTTGAGAAGAATCCAGGGCCTTGACTTCTCCTTGGCACCAGTATTTTTGGTGATGTACTGTGCGTTTAAGGAACAGAAACCTTCTGTGGCAGTTTTCCCCCAGCTCACAGGTGCAACGTCTCAGCAAGTTGTCAGACTCCCTTCATCTTAGCAAAAGCCTTCAGTCTCTTGATGTTTTACATGAATTCAGAGAAACAAAATGTGAGCTAGATAAACATTATGCAGTGTACACACTCACCCCAATCCAAGCCAAAATCACAGAAAGTTTGCACAGCCTAGTAGCTTATCCTGCCAGTTTCCTCCATAACAGTCTCTGCTCCATTGCCTTGCCTTGCCCCAGGGTCACATCGTAATTGTCTGTCCAGACTTAATTCTTTTGATCTCCCTGGGTCAATCAATTATCTCTGTTCCCAAGCCATTTTTGATGCTTCTTATATATAGCAGCCTCCTCCTGCCTCAGCCAGCCACAGAGTGCCAGGCAGTGTTGCCACTGTACATAGTGGCACATTCCCACAGCCAGCCCGGGCAGACATCCCAGGGTACTGCTGTCACCACAGGTGGCAGTGAAGTGGCTGGGCCAGCTTTAAACAAGCTGTGCTGGTGAAAAGGCAGTGGAACGTTCAGGCAGGGCTCACCAGGAAGACAGGTGCTGGTGCTGAGTTTCTTGCCTATTGCTGGGCTGCTTTAGAAATTTTAGCTAGGAAACGTCTGCCCGTGCTGTGCTACAGCTTGCTGTTCTATTACCAAACCCATTCCCAAATATCACTCCTATTTCCCACTCCCTGGGGGAATCAGAGGGAGGGACTGCTACAGCAAGGAAAACAAAATGATGAGGACAAATGACAACAAACAGCTGATGTACTTCAGCCACCACCTTTTGAGGTATTGCACCTGTTACACAGATTTCACACATTCCAAGTTTTTGCCAATACTAAACAGGTGCAGAGCACTATTTGGTATTAAAGACGTAATGTAAAGTATATCACTGATGTAATGTATAAAATAACAGAATGTTAGAGACTGCACAAAACACTGCCAAGCAATGAGACTACTTCCATGACACTTCAGCAGCATTTTCCCAATGTACCAAAGCCTGACAGTAGCCCTGGATTAGCAATGCCTTCAGGCTGCTTTTGCATAGGAGTCATTGCTGTCCTATTGTTAGAACCAGCATGCTCTCAATGCCAGGAGATGAGTTTTGGATCTGGGGTTGTTTCATGCTACCTTTTTGCTGATGCAAGGAATGCCATAAAGTAGAGGGAGAGAAAGTTTGTGGCTCTCAGACTAGAAAACATCTAAAGAATGGATGGAGGATATCCCATACCACTATAATATATCAATTACTTTTGAAAAGTCTAAGGATGACACTATAATAATAATAAATAAACTTTCATACTGTGCCATACGGAACAAAGAGCTATCTTAAATTAGCTGCTATACAGACAGGCAGACTCCTATTCAGGGGAATCCCACTTACGATGACATTTTCTAAAAACAAAAACTGCAAAGAAATGTTTTTATCTCTTTTTAGGATATGCTGCATCTGAACAGATTCCTTTTATGGAAACAGTGCTCTATTACAAACTACTTTAACTTGCAGCTACCTTCTAACAATAGTGCAGCGTAAAGTATCCACAAGAAACCTTTCATCTGGACAAATTCAGTATAGTCCACTGACAGTATGTACAGTACTGCTCTCTTCAACTATCATTACAAAAATGTCTGTCTCCAGATTGGAAGTTTCATTTCAGGACTGGCCAAGGCTAATATATGCAGGACAGATATTCTTTTTGCTCTTGGTCTAATGGGAATACTCTTAAGCACCTCGAGTTTGCTGTCTGACACCTAAAGAAATGTGACAGCTAACATACCGTATGCTAAAATGTCACTCTTCAGAATGCAGGCAGGATTTTATTTCAACTGGTTACTGTTCTTGCTCTCCCCTGAAAAGTAGTGACACTGGAAACCCGACATACTTTTGGTTTGAGATATTTGAGAACAGAATCAGCATTACAGGAGCTGTTGTGAGTAGAACAACGCTGTCACATCCACCTCCTCTAGGAAGGGTTAAGTGCCAGGAACTGAAAAGGAAGGGAGAAAGACAGAGAGAGGATAGGAAGCCAAAAAAAAAAAAAAACCACAACAAAAAACAGAAAACAAAAACCCAAACCAAAACCGAAGCAAAACAAAAGGAGAAAAGCCACCAACCACTAACCCTCCCACCCCAAACAACAAAAATAGATCCATGTGGTCATAACGTTCTTCCTCAGAATATCTTCCCTAAGAATTATTTATCACTTAAAAATGGATATATCTTTAACAATAACAGCAGTGTTTATCTCTGTTATCACATTGCCAGTGAAAACATTGGGCCAGTTTGAATACTTAATCTGTTCTTTAAGTTTTCACAGTGGTTGACCTAAAATGTGTATCTGCCCTGATAAAGTGCAACAACATATTTTGTGGAGATTCAACTACCATACATTTTACACGGCAAAAATGTGGAGTCTCGTAGTAGAAATTGTTTATAATTCAGTAATCTACATAATCCTTAAAATGTCTTTATTACTCAATTCAGTTCATAATCAAAGAGAAGCAGTTTACAGAAATAACCTGTTATGCTCAGAACAGAGAACTCATACCTGAAGACAGACTGATACACGCAGGAAGAGACATGCAAGCTCACCCCTGCTGCACTATTTCACTATAGAGTGACTGCTTTCTGGAAGTGCCTCTTCATGTTCTCTGATTACCAGAACAGCACACAACAGACTTCTGACATGGTTCTTGTAAAAAATGCACCTCCAGGATTCATCCGCTGCACAGTATCTGTAGAGTTTCTGTGTCAGCCTCCTGAGTTTCACCAGCTACGTTTGGTCCAGCTGCTCCTGTCTGTACCACAAAGATAGAACCAACTAATTAAGTCTAGTTAGCTCTGAATCCTGCCCTCAATGTGTCCAACAAGCCTTCAGTTATGGAAAACGTTGCCCATTTTCATTTTCAGCAACAGTACATGTTATCGAATCCTGGCAGAGATGCTGACATCTAAATATGCTTCTCAGTTTTGACTGCTTCACTGTATTTCCTGAATGCTTTATGCCTGCAGTTCTCCCCTCTGAATCACACAGCTCATCCATGTCAAAACAAATTTGGCGCCTATTAATTTCCATTTGTCTGTTCACACACTTGCACAGCATCTCCAGCAGACAAAGGCAATGCAATGGCAAGGTCTCCGGGTGCTAATGTGATGTAACGGAGAAGGTTACACCATCTCCCCTCTGCATTGTGTGCATGCAGTAGCCTTATGGTTAGAGTAAAATAAAAAAATTATAAAGCAGCTATATTCTTCTAGTCTTGAAAGAGCTCTTTCCTGAATTTATGGTCTTAGAAATAAAGACAACTTTATTTCATAAATATTGAAAAGCTGTCACCTTTGAAAAAACCCTTTTCAAGAGAAGAACTGCAAAACAAAAATAAGCTTATTTTCAAGTGTCAAGAGACAACTCCTAAGGAAACTAAATTGGTGGATCTCACACAGCACTAGCACGTTTAGCTAGAGCTCCTCTACTTCACCATCCACTTTAAAAATTTACACTGAAAAAAAATTAAGGGGTTTTCTAGTGTGGAGTAACTCAGTCTCACAGGAAAGCTCTCCATTTGTATAAAACTCTGTCTCTCAGCCAAATTAAACTCAGTTCTGCTTTAATAGTAATTCTGATTTATGATGCTTCTATATTACAATCAGAGTGGGTGTATTTTTCCACAAAGCAGCACTGGCACAGCCACAGAGGAAACGTACTTATCATCACACTTCCACCATTACACCTGATTAAAGCAGCTGAGTCAATCCATGGTTTTCACTTTTGGGAAATGAGGTGGGCAGCACATGCTTTTACACAGCCAGACACAACTTGGTACTGCAACTGCTTGCCAGTGGGAAGCTCTGCTTGCCTGCTGGGAGAGGCTACTGATCTAGCCCAATGTCTGAGCAACATCTAACTTCTGCAAGAGAGATTCTTAATTTAATTAAACATATCTAAAACCAGACAAAAGGCAAGAAGAAAGGCTTTCAGTATACATATACAGTTTGATCTTTGAATATATGAGCTCATTGTGGACCTGTCACTGAAACAGCATGCAAGCTCTCAGTCCTCCTGAGTGTACACTGCCTGTAACACACAATAGAAAGCTTCCTTCCCTACCTCACACGTTTACTCTGCTCAACAGTAGCACTTTCTCATCCCCAAACTACTTTGAAAAGGTGATTGTTTCTGGAAGTAACTTTTAATGTTCTTGGATTACCAAAGAACTGTCTAAATGACTTCTGACATGGCTCTTTCAAAAAGCGCACCTCCAGGATTCCTTCTGTAGCATGTCAGTAAGAGAAGGTTAAAGCATTGGGCACTTGGTGAATATGAGTAAAATCTTCCTCCCAAAAATCCTAAGCCCTGTTAGATCGAGAGATTTGCTTTGTCTTTACCTGTCCTGGCTGGGGCAGCACCCTTCTGTTGCATCCATGATTCCCAGTCAGTATCTCTGACAGCCACAGCTATAAGCTACTGCCATTATATTTACATTGTTAGGTAGTGTAACAAACAGATAAATGTATAGTTCAGGATCTTCACAGGAACAACAGCATGATTCAACCAGCGGTGCTATATTTCTCTGCTTACAAACCATACTAAAGGAGTACTAATCAATGACTAGATAGATAGTCCCCGTACTTAATTGCTGGACATTCTAACTTACAGGTTTATCCCAAAAACCATAACACATTACAGTTAGCAGAAAAGAAGTAAACACCTTGAAACTGCATTCATATATTCAATAATGAATGTAATGTATTTATTGTTCTAACTACAACAGCAACCTGAAAACCAATTGCAGTTGTATCTCACTTGAACATAAAGTAAAACACATCCATCTCCCAGATGTTTTTCTAAAGAGTGCACTCTGGAGTACAGTATTAAAAAACACAAAGCTTTGATTAAGTCAATTGAGCAGTGTCAACTCAGTGGCAGAGGCAAGAATACACTGTCAGTCTCTCCAAAACACTTGCTCACATTGTCTCTCTAGTTACAAGAAAAGGAAGCGAAGCTTAGCATCTTCAGCTCAGCACAGCTTGAGAAATAGAATTCTCACAGTTCACACAAACATCATTTCATAGTACATGAAGAAACTTCAACATTGCTCTTTACTACCCAGTCTATTACAGTTGCATGCTCAGAGAACTCTGCCAAAATCATTGTATCAAATGATAAACTATTACTTCACCCCACCGACTTGCACTAAAATACACCCCCTGAAATACACTTGAGAAATGTCATAAATGCAGGTACCCAAAATCTGCAGAAATAACAATTTTAGGGAACAAAACGAAGGAGATAAGAACTGCAGAACTGACTGCAGAAGCAGCAGCATATCAGAGCAAGGACAGAAAATCAAGTCCTTACAACGTACAAAAGTCATGCAGAACATACATGACTGCTATCCTATTAAAAAGCAGGAAAGAGAAATCAGACACTGGAGCACACTGCCAAATTTCCTCCTACAGCTCAGACTTCAAGTTTCTAGAAAAAAAAAAACCACAAACAATGTTATTTACTACCAGCTTCAGAGTCTCATCTCCTAGTGATCCTATAGGGGCAGACTGGATTCAAACAGTCTTTTCTTACAAATTTTTAATTACCATGAATACTAGTAAAAGCCACAAGGAATGAGATATAACCTGAAAAATCCCAAAGGCAGTAAGGGAAACAGCAGAATATGAAAGCTGGATAAAAAGAAAACCCTAGGCCTGATAAAATCACAAAATGCTGCCATTTGCAATACACATAGTAAATAGTAATATCTAATGGTTGCAAAAATGGAGACAAAGAATCTGAAAGGAAGAATCTGCTACATTACAACAAATAAATTGCTTATTTCTCAGAAGATGCACATGTGGAGTGTGCTACAGTACCATTGTCACATAAAACAACTGTCCAGACAGGCATAAGTATGTATGTGATAGTCTTTTCTTTTGTAGGAAATGTACTACATGGCATACTTTGAATGGTTTCTGAGAATTTAGGCTGTTGGCTCACTGAAGGAAAAGTGTACCTCACTCACGCATGGCTGTGCCCAAGATTTCACAAAGAGGCCAGATCTACCAGTAGGTCACCGCAAAGCAAACATCAGCTTCAGTAAAGGCAGTAAACACATGAATACCTCTTAAACAAATAATTACACTACGCCAATACTGGGAGAATGGATGCATTCCAGACTTACATTCAGTTGAGAGTTTCTGGTAACAAATTTGTTCAGCAACACTTGAAGTCAATCCCTTTGTTCTTGGTACATCATAAGCTGCTTCTCCAACCCTACTGATATCTCAAGAAGCCCACAGGGAGCACCGGATCTTTTGGAGTACACTACAGTAAACTACTCTTCTTAATTAAGCATAATTTTGTATAATGAATCTGCAAAGAAAGCATTAATTTACCTTGCTATCTCAGATTTCCCCTGAGAAAAGACTTACTGTTCAGATCATGCCCAAGTCTATCAGTATGAATTATCATACCATAATAATGCAGCCTGCAAGTACAGTTTCCCAAACACTCACTCTAATCAAAACAGAAATGCTGCGATACACAACATACACATGAATCCCAATCTTAAGCAAAAGCAAACCCTGACAGAAGACAGGTTGGCTCCAGAGAATATCATCATCACTGAGACTCTTTAGACATCTCCAGAAAGACGTCTTCCTCCAAAAACAGATATTAACTTTGGTCTCTGCTGCAATGCCTCTTTGTTCTTGAGTCTTGACTTAGCAGACATGAGTTCTGGATAACTGTATACCATTCTCCAACAAAGAAATTTGGCTTATTTTTATAAAGCACAGTGGCATAATGAGCCAACTCAGTAATTAACTGTGATTCCAAAAAGCACAGGAATTTACCGCTGATCTGGCCAGCATTCAGTCTTAATAGCTGCCATTTATACAGGTGAGAGCATCTTCTGACAGGACTGTCGGTGTAAGGCTAGTTGCTTTTAGAATAGACTGTCACCTACAACCATCCTACTTCAAAGCAGGGGTTGCTGCGCTTGGAAATGTACAGAAATAGAGAATCTTACAAACTACTGTCTGGTTTGGCAAGGACACCAGTATATCAGAGAAGAGCAGGTTCACACTCTTCAGTTTGTTCAAGACACGGATTTCCAGTTTTGAGGAGATAATCCTGAAGAAATGCGGGAAATATGAAGTTCAGATTCTCCTTCCTTCCTTCTCCTGCATGAGAGTTTTAAATTTGGTTTCAGACAGTCTGCCATTTATGGTTAATTGTTATGTCATTATGTTTGGAAGTACATACGTGTCAGAAAAATAAATCAGTTCCCGCTTGGAGTAACAGATAACATGATGTATTGCACACACTTTCTAACAGTATCATTTCTGCTTTCAGGACCACACACGCACCTGGGAAGACAGGCATAGGAGGCCCGTAAAGAGAGATCTGTAATACATGAAAACTGGGTTCTTAGAGGACAGGCCTGAGAAGGAGCCACAGCTGAGAGCTCTGAATCATAATTCCTTTCTAAATCTCACAATTTTGACTCACCCACTGACAAATCTGGATATAACATCTGTTCTACTTTATTATCTCTCTTCTGCATGCTCATTTGTTTTCAGCGCTATCAGCTTTCCAAGCTTTTAATCATCTTGGTGAAAATAAAATAACTTCAACTCCCTTAATACTTCTCCTTTTTAAAGGTAAAACGAAAAATAGCTTTTGCTCCAAGTACATTTTTCTTTTAAATATTTCAAAGTGTGCTTGGATAGCTGTTACTAACAGATTACAAGCACACCACTACATTGGATGTACCTACCTAGGTAGCCAGGTAGGTACCTGTACTTTACCTAGGTATAAGAAATCCCTCCATCTATCAAGTTCCATGGTTATAGCATTGAAAAGAAAAACACAAACCAAACCAAAACGCACACAGAAGGAAAGAAAGGCCATTAAAAAAAGTTGCCAAAAAAAAAAAAAAAAAAAAAAAGAGAGAGGAGAAATGAGATGCATTAAGTATGTATGCACTCATACACAGAATTTCACTACAGAATGATCCCTCAGCTACTTAATTTATATTTTTGGAAAGCTATATATGACCAAAGGTTACGAACCTCTCCTGCAGTGAGACTTTACAGTCTCTTCGATAGAGCTTGTGCTAAACTAGACTGGCGATGAGGGAGGATGATAACTTACTGTTTTGCACTCTAACTGGGGATTGACAGGCAGGTTTTCAACATCAGCCAAAAAGCAATCAGCAATTACAAATGGCATAGTATGACAAAGACCATGCTGTGCACATATGGACTGCTCTGGCTGCACACCATTTCCTCGCCAAGAGCTAATGAGATAATTTTTTTCCTTGGAGGCTATGCAACTGCTAAAGCCAAGAGCAAAGACAGCCTCTGCTCAAGCAGTACCTCCCACAGAGCAGGCCCCTGAAACAAAACATTATCTAGCTGTAGACTGCAGCTCAGCAACTACAGCCAAGACAGGCTCCTCCTCTCTCTGACAGTAACTGCTCACAAGTGGGACGTGTTATGTGAATGAGAGCAGTTCCAGGGCTTGTGTTAATACTACTGAGGCTGTTTACATCCCTTCAACACATCACTGGTGGGTGGCCTTTCTCTATTTCCTTTTTGATTGTTTCTGCTCCCTCATCTTTCTGTTGAAGTACCACTATCATTATTATCTGGTATTTCTTAACCTGATTAAGACTTCCCAGCAACAGGATGTATTTTTAATTTTGATTTAATAAAATAAAATACCAACACGACAGAGAGCCTTCAGGTCTTTGACTGGATTCAGGCAAAGCCTGATGTTTTGATCATACCTGATAATTTTTTCAAGCCAGATCTGAATAAAGTATTTAAGGTATTTAAGGCATATGCCTAGCTTAAGCTAGGAGTCATGACATTATCTTCAACCCGATGGAGCCTCTGATCATCTGCATAAGTACCTTGCTGAATCAGTAAAAGAGTGCAGAGAAAGCTTCATGCCTGCTAATATATGAACTTGTTAAGATTTCCCTTGAAAATGAAATCTGAAACAGGCAGCAGAGACTTTAAAAGGATTTTGTAGCCTGCCTAAGATTTCAGAATGAAAACAGATGCGAGAGACAACTTTTTTTTCTCACCCTTTCAGCTAAGAAGAATCAGTAATGATAATCTGGGCAATGAATGACCCGTTCCATTTAAGTTTGTTCTATTGCACCAGCAGAATGAGTGGCTTGCAAAACAGGTTAACAATTAACACTAAAGAGATGGCTCTGCCAGCATTTCCCACTGAAACCATTTACAAACAAGCTCTATGTAAATCCTGATCTTTATGAGGATGAATTTTCCAAGCTCCAGTCCAATTTTTTAGGTATTTAGAATTGAGTGTGAAGACTGTATTTTCAAGAATCTGGGTCTCATGTAACATCAGGTTCAGGTTTTCACAAGACTTATATATAAATAACTGAAGATTTCTAAAAATCGGCGATGTTACAACAAGCAGCTGATGTTGCACAAAGAAAACTTTACTTAACCTTGCTCACAGAAAGCTAGCAAGGTTTTGCACAAAATAGCAATAAATCATCACTATAACAATATATAAGGATATTACACATCCAACAAGTGAGGCTTTTCAACATGACAAAAAGAACATTACAGCAACTGAACAGATGTATAATGGCCCTGGCTTCTCACAACAGGCAAAGGGATGTGGCCTGTTTGCCTGGACTATCAATTCTCCTTCTGCTTTTAGATATATACCTTTTTCCTCCTTGGATGCACGCACATAATATACAAGAATGCAAAACATACTATTAATGCACATTTATGCACATATTTATGTTTGCACCCAGACCCAAAGGCAAAGGAGTTTGAGGACTCAGCAGCGGGAAAATTATCATTTGCCAAAACAGTAAAGTTCCTTTCTGTAAGGCTGCATCATGGTGAACAGCCAGTCCTCACCAGAACCCAATATTTATTCAGCTGTAAGTACTCTGAACTCAGCAAGTTCGATGAGCACATGAAGTCTGTTCTACTGCAAGCTTAACAGAATTCATTCATATGGAAGGGTATCACATAGATGAAACAGAATAGGAAGAAGCATCAATTAAGTGAGAAAATATGGAAGAAGGTTTGTTGTTTTTTCTTCTTTTTTTGGCACTTACCATATAACCACCAGAAACGATGGAAATCTTCAAGTTCAGTACATTAGGTTACTAACATCCATATGCTTAGATTACTAGCTCCTGTGACTGCTCATCGTGCAGCTTTTATGTGTAGCACATACAGCAGGGCAGCCTGACTTCTTTCACTGTGCTCATTTTTTCCCTTACTTCACAAAAAAAACCCAACCCAGCCATCTTGTCATTGCTACAATGGAAGGTGACAGTTAAAGCCACTGTCTTAGGGTGTGATATCTCAAGAGTAGCTCCAGCCCATGAGGGATGCTGGTGCTTCTGTAATGAGCAGAGTGCAAGAAGCAGCAGTTTGATGTACAGCCCTATGTGTCTGTTATTCTATCTTGTCAGGAAAGAATAATTAGAGAATAACTCCCTGTTGCCTTCAACTCTTTCCTGCCACCCCCACTGGTCCTAATCCATCATCATGAAGACTTCTCTTGGTGATTCATTATGAGAAGGCTGCCTTTCCAGGGGAGGCACTGAGAGGAATTTTCCATTTCTCTCTCCTTTCCCTTTGCATGGCAGCAATCTCCCTTCATTACAAGGGATGCTAATGTCAGTGACTTTGGGCATCTGCTAATCAGGAGCAAGCAATTTCCAGGAGTAGGTCACACAATGAGAGCATTAAAAACTCTTTGAGAAAGAAAATCTCTGACATGAATCCAACAGGGAAGGTGAGCAAAAACTAAGAGCAAAAAAAGAGCATGCTGGCCTCAGTGCTATATTTCCTCACTGAGAAGCTGTGAGAAAATAAAAGCAAAAAGAAACTGGTGTTTCAGTACTGCTGATGCAATAGTTTTTATTCCTTAATAACGATAGAAGGACATGAAAGAGTTATGCAAACTGATCTGCTTTCCCTCTTCTACACGTAACTTCCCTGCACAAAACAAACTTGCTTGAATTGCTAAAAGAGAACTGAAGTTAGTAATAGAAATATTCTTATTATGCTTCTGATTCTGCTTTATAAAGGAAGCTATGATTTTACTGTTGATACTCTAGGGCTGTAAATCTTGTCGTGAGGTAGTTTTACAAAAGGCTCCAATTTAGAGTAACACTGAAGAAAAATATCAGTCATTGACAATTGATCAGATTGTATTATTCCCTAATTGCACAAGAATATTTTGTATACACTAGCTGGATGTAACTAATCAAGTACAGTAAGCTTTGCAATACAAAGGCTCCTTCATAAATACTGCTACCTACCAATAATATTAATGACTACGTGAATAGTTACTACAGTGTTGACACATATTCATTAGTAACACTTACTAGGAAAAGGATAGTTTACAAAATTAATCATGAAGAATTCATTTTTATCATCTATCTTTGTTCTTCCCATGAAACAGCTTAGTTCCCAGGAAAGTTACTCTTAAGTTTCTGCATTGTCCTGGTCCCTAGCATTCTAATTGGTCATGGTACTCACTGTATTTCTTTGTCCCAACCAAGTAACATTAGAAAGTGTTATTAGTCCGTTTTAGTAAGGGGAATGAGTTCCTCAGATTACCTAAGACATCAACAGTTTGTATCAAGGCACACATTAATAGCCCAACAACTCAAACTACTGCCGTGTTCACCCAATCTCTCTCTAAAACAGAAAATAAATTGTTCAGTATACTTGTTCTGTACTCACAGGTTTATTTCCTTGGCTAGCTCAGCTGGAAGAGCTGATATCACCAGATGCAACGACTCTTTAAAGTGATATGATGTCAAAGATAAGCTCAGATTAAGAAAGAAGAGAAAAATTTAATACTGCTTTAGTTAGGAAATACTGAACAATACAGTTGTATACAACATTTCTCTTGGTTATTCCCATTAAACACAATGACTAACGCCTTGATCTCTGGGATGCTCAACTGTGTCTGTTATTTCACACAGATTACTGAGTCTGGAAACTCAGTATCTATACACTATGGGATACAGCTCCTGGAGCACCAGGACTAATGCTTTTGTCCTAGAGGACAAAAAACATATATTCTAACAGTGCACACATTTGTGTCACTCTATCAACAGACGCAAGACTATTACCAGAGCTTAACTTGAATATCCACTTACATCACAATTAAATGCATTAGAGTATTAGAGAAAGCTTTACAAGAGCTAATTACAAGTTGATCTAATGGCAATAATACTCAATTTTTTTTTCTTCCCAACCAGTTTCTCTTTAAACACTGTGTAACACTGGTCCATTTAACCTTGGTAAAAAAAAGTCAGCCCTAGTGCAATACTGAGATATGTTCAACATGATGATGGTAGTACGAGATGTTTTTTTGAACCTAACTTCACAGAATACAGATGCTGTTGTCTCAGAATGCAGACTGCTGTCCAACAGGTATTCAGTGGGACTGCTTAAAAAGCACTACCATTAGCAATCTTTAGATCACATGGTGGATGAAAGGAGGATGAAACACTATTTCCAAAACAGAACATGTTTTCTGGCATGACATCCTTACCAAGACTGCAAATTTAAAAGAATGACAATACTAACACTGTAGCTTGAGATTCAAACAAAAAGGAAAGTCTACAGTTTAACTAGTTGAATACACAAATCTGGTGCTTGCTTAAGTTAAGTATTACAAAGTAATAAACAAAAATTAAATCTCCAAAATGGATATTCTGGACATCAATGCCCCGCAAACAGGAACAGCAAGTATGTCTCAGGCCACAAAACTACCACACTATCTTTGTGAAACATTATTTGAGCTGTGTGTCATGCATTCCATCTAAGAGATACTCCAATATTCATCTTCCTTAGCTGAATCGAGCAGCAAGAGTAGCCTCACTGACTGTAACATACAACTATTTCATAAGAACCCAATCACAGGCACTCTTACAGCAGGTTCTTAGGAAGACAACAAAGGTGGGAGAAGACAAGCCTTCCTATGGAAGGTAATACTCATAAAGAAGAGATGGCAGATCTAAAAATTTGGTAAGTATTCAACTATATCTAGAAGGTCACAGAAAAAACATTGCACCACTGTATTATGCCTGCACAATGCAATGATAGCTTAAAGCCTTGAAAAAGACACAAGGAAAGGACGTTGATCACAATTAAACCTTTGTCCATTCCAACAAATCAGTCAGTCCATCACACTTGTATAAAAAAAATTAGGAGATCAGAAAAAGAAATCACTTAAGTACAAGAATACAAACCTGCATGTGCCTAGATGCTGTGGTTATAATTTTTATGTCAGAAATATTAGAAAGACTGTCTACTAAATACTCTATATTGGCAACAGGGAGAATAGAAATCTAAAATAGGAAACATGCTAAAATTTAAAAATAACAGTTACCTGCTTTAGAAAGAATGAAAACCAAATGGTGCAGAAACAAAGTCTAATAACATTCTCAAAAGACACCCTAGTTAAACAGCAATTATTTAATTGTTTGCAATGATCAACAGATGCAAGACTGAGAAAGGAGGGTTTAATCTCCTTTGCCCTGTTGTCCCTAGACGCGCACCTGAACACTCCATGGGTTCCTGACTGCCCAGGCAGGAAGCTATGGGCTAAAGGGCTGGAGCAATTTCAGAATGTTTTTAAAACTGTAGGAGAGAAAAAAAGAGTTTGAGAAAGGCTGCATTTTCCAGTCCAAAAGGTGGGAAATATTTAGCTGGGATATTTTTCTTCTAGCAGTAGAAAACATCAGCTCAGAAGACTGGTAGTTGCTTGCCCCTACTAGATCTCCCTGGTATATAGCTGTAGTCTAAAGCAAAGAATGAGCACAGCGTTGCTGGCCAAGCAATGGTAACAAATATACATGATAAAATAACCTGGCCTCCAGAAATCTCTCAAGAGCTCTATGAAACCTGACAACTGCTTGTTCCACCAGAAAACTGCCAAAATTGGCAGAATAACTGAGTAAAAGTGTTTTGACACTCATTTCTTAAACTGCATAACCACCACAAAACCAAGATAAATGATCTAATGAGAAATTACCACAAAACACAAGCATTTTCTAGGGATAAGGAGTTTAAAATTAATTTTGTGACTGTGCATCTGTCTAATCTAACTGAATCCAGACATAGTGTGCCTATTTACAGGCACAGTTTCAAAAACACTGACTAAAGTGGTAAGTACAGGTATACCAGCAACTGGCAGATCTGTAACTGTTAGCTACAGAACTTTCCAGGTAGTTCTATTAATGTGGGAAAAGTCAGCATTGTTCAGCAGTTCTTGACATACCCTGCTTTTTCACACATTCTCTCACAACTTCTCATGAAAAATACATATAAACATCACTTTGTAACATAAGCTCTTACTTAATGGCAGCTTTGAAGTTCTATGTCAAAAATATATCCACACAAAAATGGAATATATAAGACTCAAACCTTACTTAGCTAAATTCAAAGCCAGAACTGAGCATGTGGATGAAATCTATAATGTCAAATATTTAAATAATAAAAACATATGCATTAGTCAAAAAGGAAGTGCTGAATCTGTTTCACTCAAAAGATAATTTGTCTTCTCGCTCTAAATACTAGCTGCAGGTGATACTGAACACCTCCTACCTTTCCTACTAAAGGAACGAGGAACTGGGGACACAAAATATCCTGTTTTCTTAAAGACATTCTATTCTTGGGGCTTACAGTCCTTTTCTGAATACCTGTAACAAAGGAGATGGAAAAGACAAGGTGGGCTTAAATATGTATTTTTTATAATTATACATATATTATACCATAATATATAACATAAAACATTGTTTTATATCTTCATAATGCAATCTATTTAATAAATATAACATCACCTGAACTGCTGTATTAGGTATATCCCAAAATTTCTTAAAGGCAGATATGTGAAAAAGGAATTCAAGAAACAGTGTGAAATCTTATTCTGGTATATTCTTTCAGTCTCGATTAATCAACAGATCAAAAATTCCTTGAGTTGAAGACTATTTATAAAACATTGTGTTTAACAGGCCAAGACTCAGCTCTCCCACAAATCTCTGATCCTTCTTTATGAGTATTTTTACACTTCTGGTCTCTTCTGGCAACAAATTCCACAATTTAAGGATGTACTTTTGGGAGAATATTCTGTATAGGTTGCCTCTTTTTAGGAGACAATGATCTTATGAAGATGATTGTTTTGTATTGTGCAGGTTCTTTTATTGTTGGTTTTTTTTTTGTTGTTGGTTCTGTTTTGTTTTGTTTTTAAATTATAACGCCACTGCGTTTATTTAAAACATACCATGAAGTTTATTTCTGTGATGGAGTAACTTGTTCTGTTCATTCCCTTCACTACAGTCACTGACACTCTGGGTGAGCTTTCCAGTTGCTGTTAAGCATCTGAGATGATATCTATCAACGAATTCACCACAGACTAGGGCTAGAACTGGTTCTTCAGGGCACTGCAAAGTTTTTTTTCTTTCTCCAAGTAGCCAAACAAAAGTTTGATCAATACGATGGGTTTGTCCTATTAGCAAGCATGTTGTCTGCCCAGTTCTCCCACTTTTGCATCATTTTTAAAGTTAACCAAGCTCAAAAGACCTTGCCAGACATTCTTGCAGAAAGCTTTTGCTGATGTAGAAATGTGATCAACTGCCTCCTACTTTTGTCTTCTGATCTCCTTACCCAGTCACTCTACCAAAGATCTTAGGGTTTTAAAGAGTAAAAACTTCTTGAAAGCTTCAGGATATGATGCTGACCCTAGTCCATATACACATTAGCATACTGTAATGCTGTACTGTTGGGGTTTTCTTGTTTGTTCGTTTTTAAGACAAATCACAGCTAAGATAAGGAGAGGTGTATTATGTTTTTTTTTTTCCCCCCACTCTGTATTCTTTTCACTCATCATACTTTTCCTCTATGGTTTGCAAAGTAACAGCTGCAGTAAGAATGAACCTCCCTGGAAACAGTACCAACTCCAGAGAGACTAGCTTCTGAAGGTTCAGATGAAAATCTTCTGGTCACCCACAGAAGAAAACAAGTCTTCTTTCAACGCCTTCCACAATGCCTGGTATTCCATGGTATCAGTTACACAAAATAACAGAAAATGTTACAAGTAATCATCTTGCCCCTGATCTACAGAGAATGTTCATGAGCTGAGTTCACAACCTTCTCCCTGACCTCTTCTCCCCTTTCACAACTGTTTTGTCTTGGAAATCTCTTGTGACAAACTAAAAGGAAATGAAGTTAGTTAACGCAATGTTCTTATTTGCCAATCTATAAACCAATCACGATAGAAAATCCCCAACTAAGGTGTGTGATAAGTAGCAATATCTCTCGAGGCAGATCCTTGTTATCCTAACAGTGAAGTTGTATGAAGTCAAGTATTGTCTCACAGCTTTTGTTTTAACAAAGAGCATGGTGTTAAGCTCACAATGGAAACTAATGTGCAACTGTAACCAGGCTTTTTACAAATCATATTTTCTACTCCAAGTTTCAGTGCTTATTAAGCTTTATACTAGTATTTTCTAAACTTGAAAAATGTAGAAACAAATGGAAGAGCTTCTTCTTAGTGCCTATCTAAAGCAAGTGAGAATTGGGAAAAAATTAAGTTCAAAGACATACTGTCTATCATTTTAACATACATTTTTACAACCTTGTTTTCCTGTATTAAAGATTTCTCTAAGCTGTTTCCATATGAAAATTAAAAGTGTATTGTTTCTTGTTAAGGTGTGAGCTTCTAACACAGATAAACTCTATTATTTGTGGAGTACCCAATCTATTGTCACAGATAAAGCATTGTCAATAATCTGTTGTTGTTGCAATAATTGTCTAAGAAATAGTCGTATTTGCCATGTTTCAGGAAACTGAATGTCAAATTCTCCACTTAACAGCAACTCTTCTCCACTTCTGCAGTACATGATACAGCTTGGATTGACTTAGCAGCAGCTCTTACAGCAATCTCCAATCTAGGACATATCTTTATTTCCAATCCAGATGAAAAATGCTTTCAAAAAAAAAAAAAAAAAAAGAAAAAAATAGGTCACAAGATACAGCAATTATTCTTTAAAATGAGAGGACACATCTTTTCCTTCTTTGATACACATGACAATTTCAGCTCATTACTTTCAATATTCACAGTAAAATACTTTTGAAAAACAATCTATTTCAGTACAGCGTAGGGCTATCCAGTATATGCCATTCTGCAGAAAAACTTCTAAGATACCCAACACTAACTGAGCTCAGGTGAGCTCTGCTAGTTTTGCACTACATCACCCCTGAAAGAAGTTACTCAGAAAACAGGAAGATTCACATTTTTCATCTGTGGCAGATGAAGCTCTATATCAAAGAACAATCATAAAACTTTGCTCTTGATGTGCAAGGTGAGATACTGATCACCCAAAGACTGTATAACAAGAGTCACTGAATATTGATGCTGTACTGCAAGACTTGCCTATTCAGACAAATCATCCTGAACATTTACAGTCATTTATATTTGTGGAGAAGGAACAGTGAGGAGACCAGTTGGTTTGATCTTGTTGATTCCTCCATCTAGGATGCAGACCCGTGGGTACTTGCTCTTCACCAGATGAGCTGCAAACTGAAGTAGGCATATCATTAGCATGACATATATGACTTATGACATATATATATATGACTTAATTCAAAATGACACTATACTAAGACAAGTTAAACAAAAGGAGAGTTCATCAGATTCTTTAAGTTCTTTCATTTAAACCAAGGAGTCCTACATAGGAACTCTAGGCTTGTCTGTTGCAGCACCTGAAGTGAATTTAGAGGTCAGGAAAGTATCACATCTGAACATTACTTATCTTTGCTTAGGTAGGATTTTTCTCATTTTATCAGTTTTTTTTTTCCCCCCCTCCAAAATAATCACTAGAACTTTTCTGAAATTGTAAATTAACATGTATTTTCTTCTGGAATAATCTTACTCCCAGGTGTTCTCTACAGGTTCCCAAACATACAAGCATCAAAGTTTGATGGACAGCCGTTTGCTTACCTGTCAAACTAGTCTAACATTACTTCATTTCAGAGACATCAGTAATTTGGAGCCCAGTATTTGTATTCTCTTTCCCTCCTTTCCTTCCCTCCTCCCCTAGTCTACCCATGGACAGGCTACAGAGAGCAAGCACAGACACAAACTATTCCTTGAAAACCTCCATTAATCTATTCTGTAAACCAAATACTGGAGTTGTTGTCTGTTTCCATGTAGCAACAATGAAAAATTGCTACACTTCTGAAGCCTAGAAAGGAACCAATTTCTGCGTAATATGTCAAACTTGCCTTTTGAATAGCGATTACAGTACATTAAAAAGCAATTAATCATTAAAAATTGATTAATTGGAAGAAAACAACAACAATTTTACTTTATTTCCAATAGCTGAAAGAAAGACTGGCCATGCTGTTCTAGTCTTCCAAATTGTTGCTTTATATCTGGTTGACAAATTAGTACTATCCAGAAAACGGCAAGTGTTTCTAAACGGGCTAACATAACATACTCAGATTTACCATTTTGACTGTTTAAAAATGATTTCTGACATTATTCCACAACAAAGAGCAAGCCTGATGTCCAAATAACTGCAGAAACAAATGAATTACCAACTATAGAACAGCACCAGGTGCCATGGCCAACATACGTTGGTACATTGGATCATCTTACATTTCTACTCTCACACTAATTAGAATGAACATAACAGATACTAAGGCAAAACAAGATGTACTGTGTGATTTCCTGATGAAGTGCAAGAACTGAAATAACTTTATTAAATAAAGATTTCACAGTGATTTTAAACCTCTTCCACAGCCGGAAATTTTGCTTCACACTGAAGGTATTTTATATATGCAGAGAATCCATTTTGTACATCTACATGTCAAACAGCTACTGCATTCCTTTCTCTCGTTTCAGGATGAATTGAATCAGGCAGTAAGTAGCCAGTATGTGATCTGCAATCACTGAGGACTTGTGAGGCAGACTAAGAAGCCCTACTGGATCCACTGGAGAAATTCTGGCTTTCATGTCTGTTTGAGGTACTTGCCTAAGATAAAAAGTAAATTTGATAATCTCTTCATGTTAGTTTGGGAGGATTTAAAGCATCAAATGGAAAAAAAAAAAACAAACCACAACAAAACCCCAAAAAACCAAACCAATAACCAAACACCACAATAAAGCAATAAAAAAAACTAATAGAAAAGTTAAATCATATGCAGATGCCAGTTGGCATGAGGAAAGTAAATGCCATGCTGTTATAAAGGCTTTCTGGTGCAGAAGTAGTGTACTGTGCACAGTCAAAACACTAAGAGTCCAACTACCTCTCACTTCACTGTGGAGAATCGGTAGAGCTCTATCTTGGACTCCATTCAACACCACACATTTTCTGATGACAGAAATAAAAACTGACAACCAGCATTTGGACTGACAGAAAGCAGTCATGCTGTTGACTCAGCACAACATCCCATGTGTCAGCAGAGAGATTCCGTTTCTGAGAGTAAGCCATAAACTCTCCAAGATGTACGTAGACATATGTAATTATGCTGTAGGCATAATGTAATTACCATTCTACCTAACCTAAATAAATAAATAAATAAATAAAAATCAAACAGCTGCTTTGTATTTCAGATTTGAGCACTATGGTTTATGTCCCACCATATTTTAGAACAGTTTTAGTAACCAAGGTATGGACAGAAATAACTTATTTACTGCATATGACAATATTTCTTTACAACTTTATAGTGTGGAATATGTCAGTGCCTCACACAGACTCTGAGAAATCAGCACTGCGGATTCTGTGGCTGTTGGTGAATGGTAGGTAGAAAGCACAAGAGCACAAAACAGTTACTTCTCCCCTACATTCCCTTAAGGAACTGTCTGTAGTTGTCTACTACGCAAATACAGCTCAAAATATTGTGTCTGAACATTCAGACAGGGAACGTCCAGCAAGCACAGGTTGCACTACAATTGGTACCTCACTACTGTAGGAATTAGCTGCAAGTCAGAGGTCCAGAAGACTATACACCACCAAAAGCTGAGAGCTGCTATCAAACTCCAAATATCAGCATCCAAGAACTTTGCAAATACACCTGCCACTGCAAAAAAGAAAGGAGTCAAGGTTTTACTCATAAGTTGATTCAAACCAACCTATTAAAGACATTCTCTCTTTATCTTCCACATTCCTATACTGAGCCACTCAAAAATAGAAACAGTAATTTTTGGCAAAGTTCAGACCTATAAATCATCTAAATAACATCATAGTCTTCACTCTAAAGTTTTGACTTTCTACAGTTTTGTTCAAGTACATTTTTGGGTCTTCTCTCCCAGTTCACTGGCCACAGATGAGAACAGGAACTTGTTCTCCATGTTCCTGAAACATTCCAGCACCACCTGGCATTCCCTGCCTGCCAAAATACCCTGTTGAAGTCTGAAAATACCAAAGCTAATACTTTCAGAAAATACAAAAGTGTTATTTTTGGCTTGTATGCTGACATAGAGGCATGAGAGGAAGGACTATCTAAAACAGCTTCAACAACATTCTCTTCCAACATAACCCACGTTTATGTAGAAACTTGGAGCTAAGAAATTAAGAGAGATGAGGGAAAAAAGCTCATTGTGCCCTTTAGAGTTAATATCATAGCTGATTCTGAAGCAGAAGTGTCATCTTGGACTTCACACATGAACTTGTTTCCCTCAAAAATGGTATCTTGAAGTGTCAAACTAGAAACTTAACAGCCACTCAAATATGCAGATTTATTTCAGTAAATAACCTGATTTACAGAGGTACTCTTAAGACAGAAGATAACACAACGAGGAGACAAGCACGTTACAGTATTCTGGTAACCTGTAAGCTATCTGCATTTCAAGTAGAGATTTACTTAAACATACAGAAGTAGTTCACAATTTGATTTTCATTATACTGATTGATTAAAAGAGAAAAAAGAACCTCAGTCATTTAGATGGTGATTACACTTGCTCAACTTTATCAAATTCTTCTACTGACACACTGACTTCTGAAACATATCTGTTTCTCCATACCACCAGTAGATCACAGACCCCTATAATGCTTCTGTTTTCATTAAGATTACAATGCTATGAGGTGTTGTTGCCTTTACTTGGGGAAATGGTGTTACTGCTTATCTGAGGGAGAGGATAAAAAACATGCCAGAAGACTAAGCTTTCTGAAATGTGCCTCAGGTGGCCTTTCCTCAAAATATAGTTCCCAAGAAAGTTAGGTTACTGTGTTTTTACTGGCTACATCTAGAGATTAAATTGGACTTCCTTTCCCTGGTTACATAGAAAATATGAAATAGGGAAAGATGAATATGTAGGTGACATGTTTAACAACTCAAATGGCATGGCTTTGGTAACATCATTCCTCAATTAATGTGTCAGTCATAGACATCATTCCTAGTGAATGAAAATGAGCAGTAAAAATGTAATTTGCCTCCAAAAGCAGTAAGCTAAGACTTCTTCACTCACAATGTCAAGCTTTCAAAAAACACAGACATCAAAGCAAATTTATATTAAAATTCGGGCATATTTAAAACATTTTACCCTGCATGGATATTGCTCTTGAAACAGCTGGTCAGGGCTGCTCCTTTTAGTACCATTAAGTATCAGGAACCTCAATAATTTAAGGTGGTAAATTGATATTCACCAATGGAGCATTTATCAAAGTATTTCTACTACCGTGTTCCAAAGCAGCAAAATCACAGCTTTCAAATTTGCTGAATGTATTACACTAGGCACATCACACTTTCAGACTGAGTATAGAATAGAGCCTAATAACACCACACAGCTTGAGCAGCACCATTCCCAGCTCCCTTCAGGCCAGCCATAATGGTTGCTAAGTATACGTTATTCACTTTTGCAGACATTCCTGTGACAGCTAGTAATTAAAGGGCAAGTTGGGAGGGAAAGAGTAACTTACTGTGCTAGAATACCAAAAAGGACTGCTGTGATCAATGTCATCAGGGTACAAAAGTAACGTTTGCCAAAAGAGACAAAAGAGGTACAGTAGAAGCTGAAAAGGGAGCCTTTATCAACACTCACCCATAGCCACAAGATTATCATCATTTTTCCATTTGTAAGCACATACTGCACCAACCTCTCAGGAACCACAATCTATTTTGCCATATGATTTCAGGCAAGAGCTCACCATTCTGAAAGCAAGGTATTCAATTCAGGGCTTTTCCATATGTCACAAAGCAGATCCAAAACACGATTATTCTTAGTCAGGTACTCCTTCAATTAAAATGTTCCAGATAAATGAAATGGCACTTTAACATCAAGGTGGTAGACTGAAAAGTTTCCCAAAGCAACAAAAACGTGCCTAATTAGTTATGGTAAAAAGCTATGGTATTCACATAAACTGAAGTGCAAAACACAAGGTGCACAACTTGGTGCAAGCATATATTACATATATTATATTAAAAAAAAAAAAAGCAGCAGCAGCTACTTACTTTTCTAACAAGATCAAAGAAAAACAAGGAAAAATTCTTCCTGCTGACATGGCCAAAAAGCAACACTTTCCATCCCATTATACAAAAGCACAGCAGAAACTTTAAGCACTTAACATGCAAAGATTTGAAAGTAAGCCTAGATAAACAGATATTTAATAGCATGAAAGTAAGAGTGAACACTCATATTTCTTTGAGTAGTAACTTTTTAGCACCTGCCTTTTAAATTTTTCCACTTCGAAATGTAATATTGCACTCACACACATACCACGCAGCAGAAAGTGAGAACTTGAAAATGAAAAAATTGCAGAAATTTGGCTGTTAGCACAGTTTATACTAACCAAAATACATGAAATGCATCCCGTACAGCTGAATAGACTGTAAAATCATAATGCAGAAAGCAAATCTATTCTATTTTTGATTCAACAGAAAATAAAAGAAGCTGTTAATGAACAGAAATATGCATTTTTTAAGAGATGCATAGAACAGTCGGTCTGAATACAGAAAAGAGTATGAATCTCTCTGAAAGATTCTCTTTCACTCCTAAGTGTCAAAAGCAACTGCTCACTTCAACTTCTTTTTTAGGATGGCTTTGGCTCTTTTATAAAATCTTCTCAAATCTGTCCTAGATGCTGCAAAACATTCAAATAAGTCCTTGGTAATACAAAATCTTTTCTTATGCTTTGCATTACTTTCTACTAATGCTGCTCAAATTCAAATCTCTTTCAAATGAAAATTAGGCCAATGAAGCAGACTATAACAAATCCATACACGAACTACCAACACTTAAATGATTCTGAGGGCATGCCTACACTGCCAGTTTCGGCCTTAAACTGGCCTTCACACCAAGACACAAATCCTTGGACCTTCCTCCTGTAGCAAGCGGTCAGTTCTCTTCAAAAACTGACTAAAAGTTTCAGGAAGAGTAAAACAACATCTGCCCCAGAGAGGTCATATAGATACTGGAAGTGTCAAATTCACCCATACTGTTCTAGCTGGCAGCATCCTTATTTGTGTCCCTATAACACACACCTACTAGTACATTTTCATCTATATTTCAGTTACCGCCATTTCACATTATTTCAGATTGTCTGAACCCAAATACCAAGCAGTTTCTGAAGCTGTTCTGTAGTTCTAATAATTCACTTTTGTTATGCAATAGCCCTGAATACTATGGATATGACCTAATTCACGCAAGCTCATGCAAGGACAAGGGTGCTCTTTCAGAGATGCAGCCTACAAAGACAGTAGAATTATGGCCAAGACTGACACACCTGAAGATAGTACTGAAGTCTAACAGCACTACTCCAGGATTCAGGTTCACCATCTCCAGCCTTTCCAATCCATACAGATCTCCCAGATGGTTGAGAAAAGTTGAGATCTTGTTTATCAGCATCTCCAAGAGGTCAGACATTTTTTTGATAGGAAAAGCTATTCCACAATTGCTCATCTCAGAAACATTCACACAGATGGACTAAACTTCTGAACTTCTGCACCAACAAAACAATTTCCCATAACTGTAACTGTCAGTCTCAACGTGGATTAAAGAACAGAATCTATGTGGAGTTTTAGAAATAGGCTGCTTTCCTTGGCACCTACTTCAGAAATGGAAGGGAACGTTACAGTTCTGCTCCCGAGTCTCCTTTCATTTTCCCCTCTTCCTCTTGTGAGAAAGGAGAATACTAAGGTTATCTCTGCAATACTTTAGGCATGCAAACTAACCACACACACAGATGGGGGCAGAATTACAACAGCAGCACAACTGCTGGCTCAGAGCCCAGGCTTCTTTCTTGGGCTGTACAAAAAACAATGTCCTGGCAGCAGCTGGGCTATCTTTCTGCCAACTGGAGAAAATCTGCACGCACAATAACTAAAACAAACTGAACAAAATAATACAGACTTCACAGAATAATTTAAAGACGACACTACAGCTTGTCTCAGGCAGAGACGCAACCAGGATCGCTGCTGATTAATGCAACTATCTCTTCAAAACACAAACTTAATCTCCTCTTTAAAGGTGGAAAAGAGACACCTGATGATGCCAGTAGGCTCCGAGTTTAAATTCAGAGTGTAGGGTGGTGCCTTAATAAATCAACAGGACAGAGGGGAACCATTCCAAGAACCAAAGGAACCCACCTTTCTCTACAATCACTTTTCTGCAAAGTAACGTTTACAAGGAAATGAAGAATACAGAAGACATATGGTGAAAACATCTCAAAAAGTTAATTGACTGATTTCTACTTCCTTTCACTCTGGAAGTTTCATTAGGTACTCTGTCCTTTTAAGCACCTATGTGTCTCCACTTGACTATTCTACGCAATACCTAATCTTCAGGCCAACCAATGAAATTTTGTGGCTTTTTTTTTTTAAAAAAAACAAGACAGGTTTGCAACAAGAAATCAGCTTGAGCATGCAAGAACTTGCTTTTCACATAAAAAAACCTAAACACGAATGTGTGAAGACTTCTTAGTTTTACATTCTCTAGACTTTTTTTTTTTTCTTAAAACATCATATCCAGTTTACAACCACTGTTAAATTTTACATAAAAGAAAAAAGCAACAAATTCATTTTCTGCCTCAGTCTCCCCATACCACAAAACAAACGCTTTCTATTATAATCTCAGATATATAAGCAAGAGAAAAGATTTTATGTTCATAGATCAACACCCACATTTAGAGAAATTCCAACACAGAAAAAAACAGTTGGTGTTTTTCAGGCTAGGACTGTGTCATACAAAAGAATCTTCAACTTGACCCTCTCTATTGCCTTGAAAAGGGTCAGAAAGATCTCACAGAAAACCAAAACTGCTTATCTTTGCTTCAGAGTTAATTTATATATTTTAACTATTAGCTACTCTGTGACACAGTGAGAACTACAATTCTGCTTCAGTTACTTGCAGAAATTGTCTAGACAATCTTTTTATAGCAACATAACTAAGCCAGATTAAAAAAAATAACAGGAATGAAAACATCCCAATTTAGGGTTTTTTTTTTTTTTTTTTTTTTTTTTTTTTAAGTTTTGACTCACAGGTTCTCTGTGTTTTCTGACGGCACAAAATAAGTGAGTTTCTACTTATTCAAAATATTGGAGTCCTATGTCTTTTACTGTTACAGCATTTGAATCAAAAAACAAATGTATACTAATCATAATTAATATATATGTTAATATTAATGACAGCATTAATATTAATCATAGCACACATGATACAGCTAGTCAATGTTAAAACTGAGCTGCTGGAACGTGACCTAATGCTAGATAAATTGTTTCCCCTATTCCAGTTTCAGTCAACTTGCAATAGCATGGACAAAGAGTTGGAAATGGAAGCAGGTAAAATAACACCTCAAAGTTTCTATAAGGATGGGAAATGAAGAACTAATGTCACCTTTTCCAAAAAAACCAAACTAATTCCTACATATCTTTTCACATGTTATCATAGATTTCAAAAATTACAAAAATCAGGAGACATGGATTAATGAGCACCAAAATACTATTTACAACGCATGGGAAAAACAAAAAAACCCAACAACAACCAAAAAACAAACCTGCTCTTGGGCACTTAGATCATTTTACTCCCAGTTGTGACGATCCTTTGCCTGAACTGGAAATTTCAAGGTAATTATATTTCTGTGGATGTGTGAATGGAGAATTTAATGCACTTTAGAGATGCTGCCACTTCATATATGTAAGTTAAAAATCAAAACAGAATCAGGCTGGTTAATTCCAGCATAACACCTGTATGGCTCAGTAAGGCACCCGTATGGCTCAGTAAGTAATCAACCAATCCATTAACTTAGCTTTTAGACCTTTGAATGGCTGAACAAGGGAGGATTTACTCTGTTTTTAATTTTTCAAGGAAGTGTTCAACTAAAGCCAGAGCTAGATGATGTCTGTAGCGCTGCGAGCTTCAGTGTCTCCTCCTGGAACTGAGCCATTATGGAGTTTTTGTTTTTCCCCTATTGCCTATTGAGTTCTAGAAAGCCTTTTCTTTCAAATTTAAGTGTTTTATCATCTGGCACCAAATCAAACACACAAGGCAGAAATAGAAAAAAAAAGGTGTAAAAAGGGCAAAAATGAATTTTCTGTATGCCCATTCAAGACAGTCAATTTTTATTTGATTACTGAAATGATGCCAGGTTACCAACGCAAACGCAATTGAAAGATTTTATCTCCTAATTACAAATAGCCTCATAAATTATCAACATTTATTTCCTACATTCACCCCTACAGAACTTAGTGCTGCATGAATCTGAGTAACACAACTAACAGAGCCAGTTTCTCTATTTTTAATGGTTTAAATCTCAGTCAACGCTTCATACAAAAAAAAAAAAAAAAACCCACAACAAACTCCTTTATGGTGGAGGACATGATCTGTGGCAAATTCCAGTTTGAGATACATAACTGTTTAGAAAATAAATGTTTGAGGTCAAACATCTCACAACATTTCTTTGGAAACATTGTTTCTGTTTCCACACATTCACTTCTGCAATTTTTCATACTGTTAGATTACTTAATACGATTTCAAAAAATTTATTACTTCCCTTATAAAAAGCTGTAATATTCATAGCTGCATGTAAACATACGTACTTCTTCTACTGTCCCAAGTCTAGCAAGTTGCATTTAAGAATAATGCAACATCCTTTTACATGGCTGAAGTGCTTGGACTCACTAAAGCACACTAGGTTTTCTACAGCAGCATAAGCAAAGGAAACGTTTAACTTTCCATCTACTGAAACATTTAAAAGCTGCAAAAAATACAAGTTGGCATGAAAAGTGTACGTTATAAGAGAAATTTAGCTCTTCTGAGGCATGGTGCAACCCACAACCATACTGTAAAGCCTCTGTCTTTCCTTTCCTACAGCTACTCATTTCAGGTTATTTCTTCCTTCTGTTTTAGACAGGTCAGTCCTGGAAAACAACTCTGTGCAAATGACTTGCTAGTAAATGGGCTATCTCCCATAAAGACACTCATTACTGAATACCAAAGCAGTTTGTCTTTCCTGTTCCTACTCCTCAGGAGGTTAGAGAATGCTAAGACTGTTACTGAGATAAATTAATATGTTCAGTAACTTAAAATGTAATTACTGAAAGCTACTGCGTAACCCACCATCAAATGCGTCAAGCATCCATTAAATCATCTCCATTTGGCACATGGCATTTTACACATTTTGTATTTATTCCTCTAAGGGGGAATATGTGCATTCAACATTTTGTAGAGCAATAGTAATTATTCAAATTGATCGATTGCATGTGAAATATGTATCATGGATTCACCCAGATCCAGTGAACAAACCTAGACTCACTGGCTGAAGCAATTCAGTGTGCTTTGTGGTCTGTTTTCCACTACCTCTACCGCTACAGTGTAAGATATGACAAACACCAGTCAATTTTTTTAACTCATGAAACATAGGTTAATGAAAAGAGACTCAGCTGAACTAAATGTATACCATACCTAAAGCGTACCTTTGAATTAAAAAAATATATTCTTTTCCTGTGATGAAGATTAGCAGTAGTAATTCTACTAACTATTCTGCTGGTTCACAACACCATTAAACATTTATAGAAATGAGTAAGCATGTCTGATTATTCTCCCCATCTACCCAAACTATCATATAGAAGTTACATGTACGAATCATTCTTCCCCTTAACTGAGCAGATTTACTTTATAATAAAATACACATAACCAACACATTGTTTCTTTCTTACTTGGAGTAATATGAACTATGTCCTATTTCCCTTGGACTTCATATCACACATGTTGTTCCCTACTTACCTTGTATATCCTTAACACGATGGCAAAAAACAACTGTTAAACTCAAATGATTTTTGAAAATCTTACTGACAAACTTCAGGAGTTCTGATGTTGCTTTCATAACCCATCAACAGAAAGATTTTAAAGGTGAAAAAAATGTTAAATGATTCATCTCAAAATGTTGGCTTCCTCTGATGCTGACTACTTCAAATGTTTTTGCCTAGAAACAGAAATGAACAAAAAATTCCCCCAGATCCTATAGTGATACCCACCCCCAAGTTATTAATATATAAATTACTCAGAATGTAGCATTTATTACCACTGTATGCATTCATTTTGTGATATCTTTCTACATATAAACATACACATATCCACTGTATCTACAGACTTACAGCAGCTGTGTTCTTCACTGCATTTCCTACAATCACCACAACTCTTCCTTTAAAGCTCTGGAGTGTGGCAGTTGCTGGGCACTGGATGAGATCTCCTTCTGCAGTAAATGCTGATGCAAATGGGATGTTGATGCTGCCAGAGATGTGGCCACGGTTAAAGCTTAGGAAAAACAGTTAAGGACATGTGCAAGGCAAAGAAATCGCTCTATGCACACAGCTGTAGAATGAACATGCCCTTCATCCTGGCAGATGAGATACACCAATGCTGGTTTTTTGTGTTAGAATATGTTGATAAACTTCAGTTACCACATACATGGAGAAAAAATCATGTCTGAAACTACACAGAAAAATGGACAGAATTAAGAATTTGTTCCATAGGCACTGCAAAAAAAGAGTTTATGAATGAAACCATGCTCCAGACCTAACATCCAGAATATGCACATTTCAGGGAATTTTACTTCAAACCAGTTCTATTCTGACCACAGGAATCAAATACCAGTGAGCAGCTGGGGCATCTCTTATTAAGGAATGTTATGCAATAGTACTTACAATGAAAACCAAAGCTAAATAGGGATTATCAGGAAATTTTCTTAAAATCTCCTGACAACTTCTCCCAAGTCCCCTAAGTTCTGACCCTGAAATTCTAATAAATAGGCACTCAGATCCCCAAACAAAGATCACTGTTTACATTTACCTGCAGTCCCACTGTTATCAAGCTATTAGGAAAGCTACAGAAACACTTAAGCAAGTGCCTTGCCTTTGATCTTGGTTGTAATACAAATAAATCCATCTCTGTACACAGATGATAGTACAATTATTATAGTCTAGGCATTCTGTGTTACTTGCTCCCTACCTGCTTTGTCTTTGATAATTTCTAGTAAGTGGCTTACTTAAAAACACAATGATGCATGCAGTAATAAAAACATTATTTAAACCATAGCATCAAAGCTTTTTCATACAGTGGTAATGAATTTGTAGATCATTTAATTCCAGGACCTTCTCCTTTTAACTGGAATTTAATAATTATCATCTCTTGATGGAGAAATCATCTTTTAGAACAGAGCCTCAAAAAAAGCAGATCACATTTTCAGTCTAATTCCAGGAGATAAGTAAAACAGGACTCTAGAAAACAAATTCAACCTAGTCAGGTAAATGAATCTCTAGTTAATTGGAAATCTTTAGTGAGGTAGGAAATAAAGGGATGCAAGGAAAAAAAAAACATTGTTTTGTATTTCTTTGACCAATTGGTGTAGAAGAACACGAAACAAGTTTAAGTATGGCAAACAATAAAATTACAAAAACTTATTTTCAGGTAGTTATTTAATTAATGTATACTATTACTGTACTATGTATGTAATGAATTTATTTCTATTTATATATTAAAAATATTTGTTTCTCTACTTCACCATACTTTGTCACAAATATTGCTAAAATATTTGAGAAATTACATTTCTGGATATAAAATTGTACTTCAACAACCTCCTCAGTGCTGAAAAATCAAGTATAATGGAGTTATTTACATATTTACTATCCATTTTACCTCAAATGTTTGGCATCAATCCACCTTTAAAGGGAAATAAAGCAATCAAGTGAAGTGCCTTAACACTAATCATGCTTCTTAAGAACTATGGAAGCAAATAACTCTTGGTTATATATTACCTTGATTAGAATTCACTCTTTTCTCATAAATGTGAGGTAATTAGAATTAGACCAGATAGAGAAACATTTTTTTCAATGTTACTGAGAGCCTGTTGAATCTCTGTAATTGGAGATCTTTTAGAACAAGCCAGACATAAATAACAGGAATGGTCCAGCTTTTTTTGGAAGCAGAAGATGGACTCAATTCCTGATTTTTTTTTTTTAATTGAATATTTCTTGCTCGTTACAAACTGTCACATAGAAAGCTGGGCTGCAAAAGTAAATGACACTCCGCAGGCAAAGACTATGTATTAAAAAAAAGAGTAACGTATAGACAGAGTAGCAACTCTGATACAAACAGAGCTTCTAGATACCTTTAAGTCTTTTCTGATTATAAGCAGATAAGCAAGATACCTTATTATTTGGGCTGCACTACCTGCAGTATGAGAAGGCACTCATAGGAATTGATTTTTCCACTGAGGGACTGGCAAAGCATGCGAGCCGTTGACAGTTCTCCATTTCCCTTCCACTTACCTGGGAAGTCTCCCACATTTTCAAAATACTGGTCTGCTAAAACATTCCAAAATATTGGGGAAGGTGTACTAACAATATCTATCATGAAAAAGCAAGCTGCATTAAAGTACTTGTGCTGTTACTACAATGTGGTTTCATTACAATCACAGCTTCAAGTGTGAAAGCAAGAATACACGAACACATTTGTGATTTCCTTTACAAACCATGACTACCTATGATTAAAAAAAAACAACAACAAAGAACACCTTCAGTTCTTTCACTATACTGGACACAATTTTTTTTTTTTTTTTTTTTAAAAAAAACAAACTGTTCTGTTACCATTTTCCTGCAGACAAAAAGAAGGTAATTGATACAAGCATGATTTGTCAAGCTTAGCACTTGGATTTGAAGGATACTCTTCACTGTTACGGATGTCCACCACCAGCAACTTTGGCTTGCTAGACTTTGTTTTTTTTATAGGTGTTTTGGAATGACTTGGTCCTGTCAGTTCACAAAGATCAATCAGATCTTCTGCTGAAATCCTTGGTGACACCTCTGCCTTCAGGTCATCCAACTTGATAGAATCTCTAGACTTCAAAAAAAAAAAAAAAAAAAGGTAATAATAAAGATGATTAAAGAGTTAAAGACACAACATTCTTTGCAACATCTATTTATTTGACAACCTCAAAGTATGACAATTTGGTTAAATGGAAATCAAACTTGTCCTTCCTGAGTCATTACAACTAACTGCCAATTAATTAACTGCTCAAAGTGCCTATTTTTGAAAGCTTTCATACACTGTGTAATTAAATATACATCAGCATGCACAATGGTGTTAAATAGTTAATAAACACCGATTTATAACTTTCCGCAGCAACATCTTATTTTCTGTTAGCACTGTTGTCTCAATATGAAAAATCGCAGGTAAATTTTAGAGCATTTTAGAAATTATGCTTTAATTCAGCAGAGTTAGCAGGTTGGTTATACATACAAAAAACCATTATGGAACTTCACATACGCAAGTTATATGCATCGAAGATACACTTACAAAGCTTAGTCATCTTACAACAAGACTGGTTTGTCTTGTGCAACCATTAAAAGCTCCTATTGTACAGGAGGTCAAACAGAGGCAAAAGTTGTTTATGACTAAGTCTTCAGCTGTTTCTAGTGAACTCTGTCTTAAGAGGAACAAACAGAATAGCTAGGAATAGTTACAGGGATCCTCTTCTGAAAGACCTTCAGACTATGTTAACATCTTATTCTTGTGGAAGACAATGTTAATAAAAAGGACAGCCGTTTCATCATGAATCATAGAATGAATGGCTTGGATTGAAAAAGACCACAGTGAACATCTAGTTTCAACCCTCCCTGCCATGGGAAGGGTCACCAGCCATCAGACCAGGCTGCCCAGAGCCACATCCAGCCTGGCCTCGAATGCCTCCAGGAATGGGGCATCCACAACCTCCTTGGGCAGCCTGTTCCAGTGTGTCACCCTCTGTGTGAAAAAATTGCACCTAATATCTAACCTAAAACTCCCATCTCAGTTTAAAACCATTCTCCCTTGTCCTATCACTATCCACCCCTGTAAACAGCCATTCCCTGTTATACTAGTTCACTGCTCTGAATGGCTACAGAATTCACATAAGCATCATGAACCACACCTATCAGTGAACTACAATGGGGATACTCACAAAATCTGAGTTAAAGGAATAGAAAGAGCTGGAAATGCCAGGGCAACACAGATGTGACTTTCCTTGAGGTACTTGATAACAAATATATTTCACGAGATATTTTCTCACAGGATTTCTCTGATGGCTTATCAGTTGGCTCAAGCTAAACAAGGCTAACACCCATACATCAATCCTTCTACCAGATCCTCCTCACGCTTCATTTTCCTACCACCATCCTGGTAAACAGACCAGCAATTTTGCACTGGACTTGAGTTCAGACTTCAGGCTATCGCAGCCACTAACAACCCAAATCTCACGAATTATTCTATACCTCTAACACCTACCCTGTTCTTCACCTGTTTGAGCTGCTGTTTTCCACACCTCAGCAATTACTCTCTTCACTTTAGGCCAGCCAATCATTTAAGAGGAGCTGACACACAGAAACACATTTATTTTAGCATTTACTAACTTCAGTGGTGAAAATTAATTTAGACTAATCAGATATAAGAAGCTGTTCATCAGAGAAGACTGCTCAATCACTACCATCCCATAGCAAAAAAAAACCAAAAAACTTATACTGAAGCTTAAGGTCTAGTTACCTCCCAGAAGTTCCCCTGACAATATCTTAAGAACTTTAAGACTGAAGAAATTATTCTGCTCACCCCATTTTTAAATACGTCTGGGAACTGCTAAGCCATATCCATTTACTGCTCTTAATAACAAGAAACAGTCATTAACAATTTTGACTTTTTTTTTTCTGATTAATATTAGAATCAAAGCCGCTTAAGCATCCTCAAGTTAGAAGTCAAGCTTCAGAAAGATTAAAGCATTTCAGAACACGTGGCTAGTGCAATCATAACTCTGATCTACTTTTCCATTAGCAGTAATCTCTTACAGGCATTTCATCCATGCTATTAAATGAAGATATACACTACTGAGAAAATAAGCAAGTATCTATAGTTCTGCTAAACCTGAACTTAACAGTCCCATCTGATAAACACAGGAGCTATAAAGTAACTTTTTATCCGCATAAATGACAGTTTTATCTAAGTAGGAGCAGGGCTCCCCAGCTTTTGTCTTTGAAGTTGGCATAGTTCACTGCAACAAATTTAATAGAGAAGGAACTTCAGCCTGAAAGTCAATATAATTAAAAGCTACGGTTCAAGTAAAATACTCATTTCTTAGAGTCCTACATGAAAAAGCATTCTTCATAGACAATGTCATTCCCTTCCTTTGGAATATGTTTTGTTTCTGAAATCAATGCATTAATGTACATCCACAAATAAGACAGAAATAACATTTTAAAACTAGACTAGAAGAAAAGAGTTTTGGAAGATATCTGAAGAATTGATCAAACAAAACCAGAAGAAAGCAGATTCACACAGCAACCACAAAAAGATGCAACTCTGAATCAAGGGTCACATTGTTTCTAGCAAATACATTGCTTTTTGTGCTTAGTTTTAGTTGAAGCTCCAGTAATGGAAGAAAGCTTATGTACAGCTATTCCATCTAAATACAGTATTCAAGGTCATGTTCCTGAAGAAGCTTTGGGGTAAATATATTCATACAGAGTAGCACTGTTTTATACAAACTAAAACATAGCAGTCAGATGAAAAAAGGTAGAAAGAAGAGGAAGAAAAAGCAAGAAATGACATTTCATGCAGATTTGTAGCTGCCTTACCAAGTAGGTGAAGTCATCATTACCATGTTTTAAATCAGAAGTAATTTTCCTGACAGACAATGCCAATTTTCAGGAACTATCTGAAAAGACGATCAAGATCAAGCAAGAACACTCTGGATTTTAGTCATCTAACCATCATCTAAAACAATTCCATGACTGAAAACACTCATATCCACCGTTTCCACTTATATTTCCCATGCAATTGTTTTTCTTTTTATCCTTGATAAATGAGTAGATGAAGGCAATACTTAATCCCTAAAATCACTGTCCTTTTACATATATTTTTGCTAGATTTTTTTTGGTTTGCTTTTAAACAAACAGAATGACAGCTCTGAAAAGTATTTTACTCCTGTACCCCCACAGAAAGAATAATGCATAAATCCACTGCTACTGACACAAAGCCACCTACAGAGGCAAAAGAGTAGTCTAATATTAGGAAATAAACAAGGTACATGTATGCTGTCTCAAGCTCTCACTGCCACAACTTTATGACCACTATTAACACAGACTCAAAGAACAAGGCCTCAATGTCATTCTTTTACATTTTTCTATGCAACCTCACTAACAGACTTACTGTTATGCCTCAGACTCTGTCCTCCCTTGCCATCATACTCAGATCTGCAGATTTCCAAGTGAAGACACTGGTATCCCACCTTCTCTATGTTCCCCGTCTCCCCACACTCTCTATTTGCTGTGTCTGCCCTGTTCCTATACTCGTCCTCTCCCTCTCACAGAGCTCCCAGCTCCAGATCCTTCGCCTTTTTATCAGGGACTAAAAAAAAACAAAAAACAAAACCAAAACAAAAAAAAAAAAACCAAACCAAACACTCAGTCTCATGCTTTCAGCACTGTTGCTCAGCAGCCGATCCAGTCTGTAGAATTCTGCACCACAAGAACATTTTATAGGCAGACCCAGCCCACCTTGCAGCCTGGCCATCTCCTATCCCCCTCTGTATGAGCTGATGCTGCAGAGAGAGATGAGAACAGTGGCTAGGAAGGATTAGGGAGGGAACAAACAGCAATGCTTGGCTTGTCATCATTCACAAACATCTTCCAAATCTTATTACACAATTGTAAGCAATCTATGAAATCATAAGTGGGCTCTGCTTGCCTAAGTAGCTTATTACCAATGAAGCCTCACTCTATATCCCTGGAATAATATAATTGAGTGAATCAACTGAGTCAGCAGAGCAGAAAGACAAAGTTATTCCCTGCACGCAGCCAGGCAGACATGCTGCAAGGTTTCTTTTGTTATTGTCTGTGATGTGATAAAACACGTAAATACTTCTCACCACTGCAGGGAACCACTTTAAATTATAGCTGTAATCCAGTTGTGCCTGAGAACACCCACAAGGAACTTTAACGTGACATAAAACTAGAAAGCAACAAGAACAGTCTTGCATGCCTTCCTCAATTTCTATCAGTGCGTGCAATTTTCTCTTGATAGATACTGTCTCTTTGACAAGAAATTGTAATATTTTATGGAAAACCAAGTTACTGACTCTAAAAGTACACCAGCTGCCAGAGATACCCCTGTCCTCTTTAAAAACAAAAACAACAGGAACTTAGTATCACATCTCAGTGCAAACTGCAACCAGAAGAGGAGTTTATTTTCCCTCACAGTGTGATCACGTCTGTCACTTCAGGGTCTGGAAATTTGTATTAAAAAAAATAATAATAATTAAAAAAAAAAAACAATAATTTTGGTTGCTATTATTTTCTAAAAGAGTATTATCAAAGGCAGCAAGCGCTAGGATAGTTGGAGAAGAAAAAGATAAGGTATGACAGAATCCCAGTATTTGGACTAAGAACAAATCAAAACCCAAAGCTTAGGCTTTTGATCAACAGAAATACTTTTGTCTCCCACATTCTACACCCCATCCCCATACCCTGAAAACTCCTTTTTATTACACTTTTTTGGTATCACTGTTTACACAGCAGCACGCTCTAAGACAAAACCTTCATAGCAGTAATATAAGGTATATACAGAATTTAGTGTAAGAAGAAATTAGTGCTGCAGGGGCTGGCAGAATGCAGCTGTGCCTTGCATTTCATAACATTTGTGTGCAAAAAAAACCCCAGCATCCTTGAATTTACTTTTCTTTCAAAACCCAGCTTCAAATATTTCTGCCCAACTCCGTTGCCTCCAAATGCTACAAGCACACAAACAGAAAAAAGCCATAGTAAGTGAATATTTCTCTCTGCAATATCTAATTATACCAATTGGAAGCAGAGTGAAGT